TTTCTTGAAGTGCAAGTACATTCTTCTTATAATCCCTCAGCCTCTTCGCCCTAGTCTGCTTGGCAACCTCTGTACAAACATATTCACACCACCATGCAGCTGTCACAGAAGACTGGGTACTTGGCAGCCCCACAGCACGGTTCGGTTTCCCACACCTAAAGAGACTGTCAGGGTGACGGGACTTCCCACAAAGGGAACCCCAGTTCACACCTTGTTTTATTGACTCACATGTTGACTTCATAGGGAGATAGGCCATCGGTATACCAAAGAACCTTTGAAATAAACGATTTATCTGACACACTGACACTCCACTTTTTTCATAGCACATACTGACTCTTCTACTCCTCTGTTTAAGTTCCATTATAATAACGTTTGACATATCAGATAAACAAATGGTCAATATCAGAAGATCCAGATTTACAACTGAAACTTTGTTTACATATTTTTGAAGGCAGTACATTTTCCTTAAAATGCTGATTTCGTGTGAATTAAACACAAAGTGGACAACACACCTGACAAAGTCTGCCAGTGAGTTAAAGAGCAAAGTAAATAGAGAGGGCATAAAGTCAAATTCAAGTCGCAAAGATGGTTGTTGAAGACTAAGGCGACAGCTACACAATGATTCCTGCAGTTCAGTACAGAAGATAACCTTGGTGGAGTTCAGATTAATACTACAGATAGGGATTTTACATGTCATTTTGTAATAAAAAGTGACCAATAACAGAGCTAAAAGAGAGCAACTATTGGTCCTACATAGTCTAGGTCAGGGGTGTCAAACTCAAGGCCCGGGGGCCAAATCCGGCCCGCGACTTCATTTTATGTGGCCCCACAAGAGCTTGCAAAGAATATAATATGTTTATTATACGGTTACATGCTACTTTACAGAAGCACGTTGCCCATAAACGACATGTCCCACAATGCATCTCAAATTTGACTTTTTCTCAGAATTTGACTTTTTTTGTCCAAATATGCCTTTTTTCTTAGAATTAGCCTTTTTCTCATAAATAGATTTTTTTTTCAAAATGTCACTTCTCTTTTTCAAAATGTCACAATCAATGTTTTTCCAGAATGTGGCTTTTCTTTTAAAATCATATTGTGACATTCTTACTGAAGAGACTTGCAATTATTTGCTCTAGACTTCTGCTTTCAGACGTAGTTAATTATGAAGTTATATTAATTAATGATATAGTCTTAAAGTTACAACCGGCCCTTTGAGTGCAACCATAATGCTGATGTGGCCCGTGATGAAATTGAGTTTGACACCCCTGGTCTAGGTGAACAGAAGAATGGTTTTATATCAATGAAAACATTGCTCTATAACTGCTGGTTGTGTAAATAAGTTGATAATATGTCAGTGTTGGTTTTCCAAGTGGCCAAAAAACACATTTACAGTAGTGCTGGTTTCACTATTTGACAGATACATTACAAAGCATTTGATATAGTACTGATTCTCTGCGTGATTAACAATCTGCAAAGACACCACTATTCAGTACTTTGGACTTTGTAGACTTTCCTTTAAATAACCCAATGTGGCTTACAGTTCTACTGACTGAGATATCTCGGTAAATCAATCTTATCCTCCTCATTTCACGGTGAATTGTTTCTTCTCCCCCGCGGAAATCTTTGTGGTAAAGGTCACGGAAGGAGGTTGTGCTTTTATAATGATAAAAGATTGGATGTGTGGCCACACAAGTTAAGCAGTGTTCAGTATTGATCTGTGTGTGCAGCAGTATGTTACTGAACCAGATAACACTATATCTCGCAAGGAGCTCGTACATCACTGAAGCCGAGCGTGACACCAAAGGAACAAATCCATGAACTACGTCCAAACTGTGGTTAACACGATTTATCTGTTAGTTACAAATCTAGCCTTGCAATGGATTTCATGTTATTTTCATATCCATTGAGATTCTTTACCATTTTCAAAGTAATGTCTTAATATTTTTCACTTTAATTAGTGTCCAACAAATGATCTTTCCCATTATGGAGGACCTCTCGAGCCAGTATCTGATGATTTCCCCACACTGATAATACAATTTCACGCCTATTTAGAATGGAACCCACATGAATAATAATGTTTTATTGTGGCTATTAGCTTCAAATGCAGCCAAAGAAACAAATGAGGCAGACTATGAAGCAGATAATATTACAATCGTTGGATTGCTTGTGGCATGATGCACCAAAACGCTATAGCATGAGTAACTGAGGTAAATGTACAGGCAACCCGTACTGTATTTCCAGTGAGAAGGACACTGTGACGATATTGCCCAGCTCAGCATTATCGAGGGGACACAGTGATGATGACGGTCCAAGGATGATGGTAATACACCACCATTACTGTGACCTTTCTATGAGACATTTCAATCATCCCTGCTTGGCATCAGCATTAGAGATTAAAGGTTAAAAGACATTTGATCAATTATACAGTAATATACAGCAAAGTGCCCCAACAAACACACAGGTGTAAGTGTGCTTGTGTCCAGGAGCTCTGGGGCTCACTGCAGGTAGTAATCTAACCTTGGAGCGTTGCTGTTCATAGCAAGTTCTCCTTCACAGGATCCCATATCCTTGGAAAGCCAGAACACATTTCACAAAATTGGCGTTTTAGTGTGTGTGGCTCAGGGGATGTCTGTCAGTGCACCACCTCGTTTCACACTAAAATATCTCAGGGGGACGGTCCACTCAAAAAGGCTTTTCAGAAATGTTTTTGGGGTCTAACTCACCAGACTCAGAACAGTTCTCACAGATCTCTTGCAGTGTATATGAAATAATACATCTATCACACATTCACATTCTGATTTTATAATAGAAACCTTGATGGTCTGAATGGATAACATCAATGGATTCATTCAAAAAGGAAGCTCACTCTTCTTATAGTAAACTACTGAAAGGTCCCCTATTATACTGTTTTTCATCAATATGTTATAGGGCTCAGATATATACAAAACATGTCTCTGAAGTGTTTGGCTCCAAATACCAAACAGATCATTGCAGCATCCCATAATCCCCTCTGTTTCAGCCCTGTTTCAAAAGTGCTGATTCTCTGTCTGTTACTTTAGATGAAAATAAGGAGCCCCTCCCCACGCCCCTCTGAGAGATATTTGGTTAAAAAGAACACAATGGTGCTCTAGGAGGAGATTCAGGTGATAAGGTGTGGGGGGGGGGGGGGTGACCTTGGTTGCTGTTCAGAATCTCTTTACACAGAGGGGACACATGTTGATGTAGAAAAGACATGAAAAAGTGGATTTTGCATAATGGGTGACCTTTAAAGACCCCCTTCTAGAAACATTTGAGTCCATTAGATGTCATACGTTAACCCTAACACTAACCCTACATTTGTCCGGCTTTTTCCTCAGTTGAAAAGAGGGCTGGTTTTGAGGACACTGATGGTCCCATCTATGTTTTTAGTTGGTAAAAGGACTTGCCACTTCAGTCATATTGTTGCTGTGGATACACAGTTTTGTCAACGCCAGATTTCAGTCTGGAAAAGACCCATTGAGAAACCAATGAGCCTTGCAGCTGGAAACTGGACAAAGCAGCAGGCTTTTTTAATGAAGATGGGACTCGCTGAAAATGAAACAGTGGAACCTGTTATGGGACTATTAAAATACTGGAGAAGCTGAGAGGCCTATTTTCTACTCAAATGTATCCAGAAGGTCCCTCATAGAAACATGAGGCTGAAAGAAAATGTTGATGTTTCTATCCACACTGTGATTTGAGTCCACTCCAAAATGTAATGGATTTTTGATTGGCCCATGCTAGTTTTTCTCGTATTCGTGCTGTCAAACAGACAAACAAACCAATTGAATCGAAATGAAAATGTTACCCTCTTGGCGAATGAAATTGTTGTCAATTCGCTCAATTGGCTCGCTACTCCCACGCCTGTTTGCTATCTTGGTTCCAAAATGGTGGAACGGTTTCCCCATTGATATCAGGACAGCTTAAAGTCTACACATTTTCCATAAAAAACTGAAAACCCAACTGTTTCAACTGCAACTTGGCCATCAAACCTAACTTACAAGGTTTAGACCATTTCAAGTTTATGCACAAGCAATAACAAGGTCTTACAACCACTTATTGTAAGACCTTTTGGACAAAAGCATCAGCTAAATGAAATGTAGTGTAAAAAATGTACAAGTTTTGTTCGTGCTCAGTTAGGAGAAGGTGGGGTTTGTGTGGATTTCTAAGTGAAGCATCAATCATCTGCCATAAAGCGTGTTTGAAATGTGTCCAAAGCCGACCCCTATTTAGATTTGTTAGACGACATCAAGTGAAATCTGAGCGACCTCTCATCCACAAATCACTCACTCCCAACAGCTCTCTCCTGCAGATTATCTTTGTGTATGCCTATGATGGGTTCATCTTCAAGTTTATACGTGCTGTATATGTGTGTTTGCAGTAGCAACAGAGGAGAAGAGGGTAACAGTCAAAGTCGGGGAAGGTGACAACTTCATATGCAACAATTGTGTTCGGTAGAGTAAGAAGCCAAAGCGCCTTCAAGTGCCGGGCTCACCTTTCAAAGCGTGGGGTAAAAGAAGATACTCCATAGAGAGTGGGCTGACAAGATGAATTCTCCTGGGGTATTTCAGACACTGAAGAGATGGCCCCTTAATCCCTGCTGAGCCTGTGCCCTGCTTTTCATCTGTAACGGCTCAGTGATATCATACATATAAAATGGAAGACACTGATATGAGCCTTAATTTCGATGACACTTCACCCCATAATACCACAACCAATTCTCCTTCTCTCAACACCTTCCTTTCCCACCCATCCACCTCCGTCACATCTACTTCCCCTTCTCTCCCTTTGTCATTCTGTCACTCATCACCTCCGTCTCACATGTCCTGGTTTCCTGCTCCATTTCTAGCGTGTCACCAGTGTAATACGAGAATGTCTCCGAGTTCTTTCTCTGCTCTCTGGCGACTTTGTTTATAACCTTGTCCCCTTTCTCTCTTCTTTTTCTGTCTCCCTCTCCTCTGTCTTTTTTCTTTTTTTGGCAGCCAAGATGGCAATGTGCAGCATCCTCAACGGTGATGACATCAAGAAAGCACTAGATGCATTTGCAGGTAAAAGGACTTTTTACGGATAAGTCGAAAACTACACCTAAACGGCAGAATAGGTTGTTTACCAATGACTCCGAAACGGCATAAATGACCAACAGGCTGTGAACCGGTTCCACCTTTTTGATAGTGGTCTTCATTCAAGCAAAACTACTTGGATAGGTTTATAAGAAGTCAAGGTTTGGTTTAATATAAATATGATTTTTATATAATTTAGGTTACTAAGTTAGGTCAACAATAACATAAGTTATTTACGAATATAAGTGGAAATAAGCTAACAATAACTTTGGGTTTCGCACAGAACATGTGTCAAACTCCTAGGTGTAAGTCCTCTTGATTCATAACCATTATCAATCATGGGAAAAATGTAAAGCGCCTTTGTTTCCAGATATCTCGGCACTTAGCAACTGGTAAACGAAGACATGTTTGACATGCACTGAATGTTTGAAAGTACCACCCACAAGTGTACGTTGTGAAAAAGTCACATGGTTAATGTTCTGAAGTAAAACATATATGAAAAGGGTTAAGAAAATATCATGGCAGGGTTTAAAATGAGTATGTTTGTTTTGTGAATTAGGTTACTTACGTAAGTTAGTTCTGTTACACAAGTTAAAGGTGGGGTAGGTAATTTTGGAGAAACCAGCTCGAGTGCGCTAGAATTTGAAAATACACAGCCGGAAAAAGTCTGCCACTTCCTTACAGAGCCCCTCCTCCAACACACACGAACGCGCACATGACCAATGAGGGCACGAGATAAGTTTGTGCACAGATGGAAGGCTGACAGGCAGGTAGGCCATCCAGTTATTTTAGCCGGGCCGGCTAAAATGATTGGTCGTACTTTTTACAGTATTACGGCTTCCACAGATGACATTTTTTTATGGATTTTTTGTCAAAGCAGATATTCATTGCTATCGGGATGTTAAGAGCATTCCATGGAATATAACAAAAAGTGTATCTCGAGCCGGTTTCTCAAACTTACCTACCCTACCTTTAACTTACGAATATAAGTTGAAATAAGCCAACAAAAACTTTTGGTTTCACACAAGACACTTGACATTCCTGGGCGTTAGTCATCTTGATTCACAACTATTATTAATAATAATAAAAACTGTGTGACAACATTGTCTATATGTAAAATGAAAATCACCTTTACTTCCAGAACGAGAAGCCCCTGAAAAACCCCTTCCACTTTGCAACTCCATATCACTGTTAAACGAAGAGGTGTTTGTCATGCACTGACTAATATGATGCTTATTTATATGTTAACATATGTGCATAGTTACATTAATTGTATGTTTATAGATAAAAATAGACAGCGCTCCATGACCCAGAACTAACGGGTCCTCTGGCAAAAACATGTTCTCAATCTATATCAGTCACACTGGAAGAAGGCTTATTACAATTACACTTTGTCCTTTGGGCTTCATCACCCAGATGAACACATGGTAAGCAACTTCCAGCGACTTTTAGAGCAGTGACATCACAAGCCTCCAGCTGCTCATGAGCACACTTACTGTATTGTGTATGTATATTTTGTATCCAACGGAGAATCTGTGTGTATTTATGACATTGAAACAAGTGTGTGTGTGTGTGTGTGTGTGTGTGTGTGTGTGTGTGTGTGTGTGTGTGTGTGTGTGTGTGTGTGTGTGTGTGTGTGTGTGTGTGTGTGTGTGTGTGTGTGTGTGTGTGTGTGTGTGTGTGTGTGTGTGTGTGTGTGTTCAGCTGCTGACTCCTTTAACCATAAGAAGTTTTTCGAGTTGGTGGGTCTGAAGGCCAAGTCTGCTGACGAGGTGAAGAAGGTCTTCTTGGTGCTGGACGCCGACAACAGCGGCTTCATAGAGGAGGAGGAGCTCAAGTGAGACAAACACACACACACACACACACACACACACACACACACACACACACACACACACACACACACACACACACACACACACACACACACACACACACACACACACACACACACACATAATGATGTACCTTTCGTGTGTTTCTGTCCCTGGCTAGATTCGTCCTGAAAGGTTTCGCCCAAAATGGCAGGGACCTGACAGACAAGGAAACCAACGCATTTTTAAGAGCAGCCGACAAGGATGGAGACGGCAAGATTGGAATTGATGGTAAACATTCAATTTTGTTAATAGGAGTATCATAAGGTCACACAAACAAAGAAAGAAAGTCAAACACATCTTCATTCCCACAGTGATTAACATCCGAATTATTAAATGGCATTATAAAACGGACAAGTCAAATCAAGCAATCTGATTGGTTCTTAGCCGTGGTATACTGAGCGTATGCCACGGGTAGAATTGTAGTTACTTTTCACAACAAGTCAGTATCCCTCCGCGTCTGAGAAAAACTGTATACAGTTGGGCTGAAAAGCAAACTGCTTTGCGTCGGGCCGAACCACGCCCCTTAGCTGTGATATAATGAGCATATACCACGGCCTGTCGTGAGCTATTGCTTATATATTACATGTATTGGGTTATGTTGGCTGAATGTGGATTGCAACCCCAATGTCATTCATCTGAATTAAAAAAAACGTAATTTATCCTGGGAGAAAATTGTTACAAAGGAAACGCTATGAGATAGACATTGCACTCATTTGTCAAACATACATTTTTCAGGCACCTTGGAGAAATGTAAGACTTGATAGTCTAAATGACATTGTCCTCATCTTTCAAATGATCGGAACCACACGTTGAATCCTCAGACACACATTTGTAAACAAACAGATAACAAACAAATAAAAAAATGTGAAACCATGTTGTTGTTTTCCATGATTTGGACCATTCTTCCGAAAACGATCGGGGTTTGGAGTGGGGTTGAACCTTATGTTTTCCCAACCCAAACATTAGCAGTGGAACTAGCAATTATCAAAATGATGGTCAACACAACAATCCACTTCAGAACAGCTGCTTTTTTAAACCAATGGGTAGTGAATAAACACTCATCACCGCTGCCACTGAATAAGCTAACTGGGCCCAGCATTGTAATGTTTTCACTTCAGCCATTAAACGGTTTGGTTGTGCTGAACATGCATTATTGTAGGTTAGAGTTGCAAAAGACAACATTTGTAGCTTGTGCTCATCATTATGAAGTGTATGTTGATTTCACAATGTAATGGCTGTAGAATAATGGCACCAAATGCGTTTAGATTGGTTTCCATTTAGCCTTGATTTCCTTATGCAATCTGTCTGCCTCTGGGTACATCTCCTGGTGAAATAAAGCTGGATTAAATGTACAGAAAGGATAAGGAGAATGCTTGAGTTGTGAAGGCAGTAAGATAATACAACAGAGAGGAAGACATACTATTATATTCTCACAATAGGGAAAATTCATTTTGATCTCTGTTATTTTATACAGTTTACACATGCAAAAAGGACATACTGTATACACGTGAAGTCTTTTGTTTGTTTTTTGGTCCATACTTGGAGAGATTAGCGATTATCCAGTGATCATCCGGTTCTAAAGCCAAGTTCGTACGGACTAAGCTACTGACGTTGCTTCAGTTTTTACCTTTCACAGTCAAGTTAATACATTTAAGACCTTCCCTTGAGTTCCCAAAAATATAAAAATACATATAGCTAGTCCTTTTTGTAACTTTTTTGATTTACTTGAGCGTTGATAATGTACATTTCCCCTCTGTGGGACTAATAAAGGTATTCTGATTCTGACATGGGGTGAACCTGACACCATTGTACTGTCATGGATCTAAAAAAGTATGAAAATAACCCGGGAAAAATGTTCTAAATTATCTTTGTCTCTCTTGCAGAGTTTGCCGCCCTGGTGAAAGAATAAACAGTCGCCCAATGTGACCGACTCTCACTCCAAGATCACCTCCCAACCACGCTGCACTCCCACACCTGCAGGCCTCCCTCCACAGCACCAACACCTCACCCCCCCCACCACCCTAACTGCAGCTGATCCCCCCCTCACCCTCTCCCCCACTGCTGTCTTCCCTAAATGCAACACTGCACTGACAGAAGTTAACTGTGGTTTCCCCCCCTTCACACACACCTCCTCCCCACAGCTATACTAATCCTATTTATTTTATCCTTTTTATACAAAATGTTTCTGTTTCTGTATAGATATCAAACATGCCTGCAAGAAATAAACCTCACATTTTAAAGTAGATATTTAAAGAAAATAGAGATTATAAGAGAAAGACCCCAATGTCCTTCCTCACCCTCTTTCTTTCTCCCTTATTCTGTTATTTCTCTGTCGATTTAACTCCTGGCACTGATCCTGCATCCGCCCCCCCCCCCCCCCTTTCTTCCCCCCATCTATCTATCTATCTATCCGTCCCTTTCTCCTCTGGTAATGAGCTGTTGTAAAACATACCAAAAGAAGAAAGAGGTCAAGCTGTGAAAGAATAAAAATAAAAAGTCTCAAGAAACGCTGAGTCACTGTTAATCCCTTCCTTTGATGTGATGCTCTTATCTGATTCTCCATCTTCCCTGTCCTCTGTCGTGCAGCTTTTATTAAGCAGTAAAGCACATCTTGAGATCTCATCATGTATAAAGGGGTATACACAGTGGTGGAAGTACATGTACTCAAGTTTCATTTTCATGTAAAATGTTGAGGTACTTTAACTGAGTTTTTTAACTTAAAGGTAGGGTAGGTAAGAATGGAGAAACCAGCTGGAGTGTGCTAGAATTTGAAAGTACACAACCGGAAAACATCTGCCCCTTCCTTCAGACTTCCTTACAGAGCCCCTCCTCCAACACACACGAACGCGCACATGACCAATGAGGGCACGAGATAAGTTTGTGCATGAGATGGAAGGCTGACAGGCAGGTAGGCCATCCAGTTATTTTAGCCGGGCCGGCTCAGATGATTGGTCGTGCTTTTTACAGCGCCACGGCTTCCACAGATGAATTTCTTTGTGTATTCATTGTCAAAGCATTTAATATATTCATTGCTATCGGGATGTTAAGAGCATTCCATGGAATATAACAAAAAGTGTTTCTGAAGTGAATTACCTACCCCACCTTCAAATGCTACGTTGAACTAATTCTCAACTACAATTTGGAGGCCAATATTGTACCGCTCTTATCCATCCATTTATTTGACAGCTTAAGTAATGATACATATTCAGATTATTACACAATAAAAATTATAAATCAACATTACAGTATAAATATTGGTTAAAATATCAGCAGCAGTAAACAAATCATAATCCAGTAGTTTAATATATAATCATTAAAATGGCTGTTTCACACAACAAAGACTTTTACTTTAAGTCTATTTTGATTCCAATACTTAAGTAAGATTGTGGGTTCAGCTCTTTAACTTGTAATAGAGTACTTTTATAATTTAGCGTTCTGTTTTTTCCCCCTTCCTGGAGTGTGTTATATAGATTTGTGTGCATGTAAATGGTCTGCAAAGGCTAACATCCCTGTGTTCCCTCCAGAGGGAGTTTCTCTCTGAAATGGAGCATAATATGACCTCCTTAAAGAAGGTCAACATTAGCCTTCATTGTCATATATTAGTATTCATTAGCTGTGAGAAAGAAACTGCATAAACACTAACAGAATGACAGTGGACTAACAAGCATCTCTCCACAGTCCATATTGAATATGTATTTTTATTATAAGAGAGAATGGGAAGCGGAGGCCACATTATTCCACATGCCAACAAGTCTTGAGGAGTGCTGAGCCAGTGTAGCAGAGCCATGCTGTCAGGCCATTAGCAGAATTGGATTCACACTGAGGTTCAATTTGGGTTAAGTATCCCCAGCGGAGGACCCCAACAGGCAGCGAGGGAATCCTGATCTTCTTTAGTAGGCCATTTTACTGCCTGAGCAAATAAGAACATTTGAAGCTTAGAGGCGATCACTTAAAAAATGAATATGTGAGTGAAGCGCAGACAAGCAGAAGGGTCTTTCATAAGAAATACAACTAAAAGTGTTTAATTGGCATACTGTTTTATTTAGTTGTAATGTAATGTTTTAGAAAAATACAGAATATTTTAAATCAAATAATCAGGACCTCCCACTAATACCAATATTATATTATAAAGTCACATTTTTATGACATTATTTATAGATCAACATTATCACTACAGTCTGTAAAAAATTGCCACCAGCTAAAAAAGTAAAACCCATTGGTTAAAGTAATTATATGATGCTATAAAGATGGTATTACATTATCCATGAATGCATTGCATTTTTCATCAGATTTCAGGACTACATTTACTTTTCCTATTTTTCTTACAAGATATATTTCATTTTCTGCCAGAGGTTACATTTTCATTTCACAAAGTAAATCAGTGTTTCAATTAATATGTATGAATGGATGTAATTTGGTGGAACATGTAGAGCAAAAGGGTGGAAATGCAATATAATGGCAGTAAAAACATAAAAATAATATTCACCATGCATCAATCCTTGAGCTATAAATGATATTTATCTCATCTCAACTTTACACAAGACATTTATATATTTATTTCGATATGAAAGTCATTCACATGTCATCTCCTGTCCGAATTACAGTGCAAATACACCAAAGAAGAAATGATAAGAAGATGTATGTACATATTAATGTATATTACATGAACACATTTGTATCACAGAGATTCTTTATGAAGTACATGTAGGATATTTGATAATAATGGTGGCGCTGTTGAGCCATTTTGCCACGACCATTCACGAAAACCCAATTCTACGTACATTTCCACCAGGTTTAAAATGTTTCTGCCAAAAATAAATATATATTTCCACATGTTTATGCCCTCAAATTTGCAATCCATTTGGGAAAATATAATGCTAACAAATAATGTGATTCCAATCGGGTCATAAGAGCTAATGTTCTTAGTGTTCAGACCCTAATTATAACAAAAGTGTAAGTAAAACCAGAGCCAACGAATGATGAACAAGGATATAACTATTAAAGCATAAAAACACAATGTAGTTTGTTGGTTTACCAAGATTTAAAAATATACATGTATCTCTACAGCTCAAACCCAAGAATTATAAATTATTTATACTTTTTATAGCAAACATTGTTGTATAGCAAAGTAGGAAAAAACTGACTCTACTCAAGGTCCACTTACTCACTTTGGACCATACAGTATAAGCTCTAGTGTAGAAAAGTGAGAAACCTACGAGTGTCTATCAATAGCAGTGGCGAGCCGTGAGCTTTATACCTAGGCCCTCTGACCCCTGCCCCCCACCCCTTCCCTCGAAAAAAAGAAAAAAAAAGAGTTATTACGTCACAGCGTATACTTCAGCGGAATATCAAAACAACGGCCCAGGGTGCAAAACGCATCAATGACAGCGACCCTCTACCACACAAAACAACACCTGTGAACCCAATTTGTGTTCTTTGACATTGAAAATGATATTGCATTGTGTTTGTTACTTTCGTATGTCTTAAGTGTAATTTGGCATGCTTTTATTTTGAAGGCGAGTTCACGCTGTTGACAGGAAGTTGTTGTTGCTATGGAAACAAGAAAAGTTTCACAGCGGGCGGAACTCGTCATAAAGTCCGCGATAATAAAACCCACCCATTTAGAGGGAAGATATGATTGGTCAATTGTACTGTCATTTGACATTACTCTCTCGTTCAGTTACTATAGCGGGCCCTCTGTGAATCGCAGAGAGGCCCGCTATAGTAACTGACATTCAAACAGAGACTGAACAGGCAGATTCGAAGGATTTATTTCTTTGGAAATGTTATTTTATTAAATCAAGTTTTTTTTCGGTAAAACTAATGAAAAATATAACAAAAATAATATTAAAAATATATATATTTTAAAAAAATATATTTTTTTTTAATGTTTTTAAATATTATTTTTTGGAATATCTTAGGCCCTCACAGAGGGCCTAGAGGGCCCTGACGGCTCGCCACTGATCAATAGATAACCAACTTTCCAAACTGTATTAATCCCAATTAGAAAGGATCAAACAACAGGATTTCCCAGAAAAACTGACTAATCACTTCAAAAGATTGTCAATACACGATTTATTCACAATGTTAGAGGCATTTCAAAGTGAAAAGCTTTTATAAAAGGTTACCTGTAGAAAAGTGGTCCTTCAAATGCTTTTTAAAATCTACACTCTTTGTGCGAACACAAGAATCTTTCTTCAGCAAACAAAGTGTTTTATGGGCAAGGTATGAAATGATAAACAGCCTCACCTCAAGATTTACTCAGTCACTTTCGACCGTATATGCTTCACTATTTTTTAACGGTGAAAATAAACTCTTAAACTCCTCGAAAGCGCTTGTTTGGGGTAAAGATGTCATCGTCGGTGCACACGAGGAGCCGATCTGTCATCGGTTGACGTGGGCTTCAGCTTAATGGTGGCAAATGGGTTGGTACCCCTTCAAAATAAAAGGCACAGAAAGAGAAATAGATGTTGGAGTGCAGAAAGGCAATATCAGAAAATAGCATCTTTTAGCCGAACAGCGAAGGTTATATCAAGAGAAATGAGAACACCGTAGAAGCCTCATCTAGCGAAACCTGAGAGATAGTCACGGTTCCCAAACGGCCGTAACTGAAATGGTTTCAGCACTAAACTGCACTTCAAACTCTAATGGAAGGAAAGCAATTCTGTGCCATTTAGATCACGGCCCTCTTCTGTTGTTCGCTCGTTTAATGGGTTCATGATATACTTCAAAAAAATATCGTTATTTTCTGTAGTGCCGTTTAATCATTTTACAACCTGAGAGAGAGCCAAAGGTGCATTGATCTTACCTCGGGAAAAGTTCTGGTTGTGATGCATGTGGTTTTGATCTCTGTGGAAAAACACAGGAGAAAGGTATGAGTGAGAGAGAGCCAATCGAAACGGTAAAATGTAGACGCATGATGCACTAATGGAGGCTCAGAAAGCTGCGGCCCTCGACCCCTCGGCCCTCTGCTTTCAGTCGGATCTCAAACAAGAGGCTCAGAGATGTATTGAGATAGGCAGCCTCACACACAACACAACACACACACACACACACACACACACACACACACACACACACACACACACACACACACACACACACACACACACACACACACACACACACACACACGAGAGCAACAGCAACAGAGACCAGGGAAAGTTATAGGCAGCACCTCAAAGGTTATATATCAGACCCTTTTAGTCACAAGGACTTCAAACATGGCCTCAGATTACAGCATGCCAACATGAGAATATACACACACACACACACACACACACACACACACACACACACACACACACACACACACACACACACACACACACACACACACACACACGTATACAGTTAGGATGGGCAAGAGAGCAACAGCAACAGAGACCATGCAGAGGCATCAGGGAAATTGTATGAATGAAAAATTGTTCAAGCAACTGTTCTTGAACAGCACCTACGAGAGAATATCTTTGCTGTATTCTTCACACTACAGCACCTCCAAGGTTTTGTACCAGACCTGTTAAGTCACAAGGACTTCAAACAGGTCTTCAGGCTAATGGTCTCAGATTACAGCATGCCAAAACAAGAGCTCACACACACACACACACAACCTCCTCGCTCTAACACCATCAGCAGCTGGAGCTCCCTCCATGCGTCCACCAGAAAGAGGGCTGAGGAGCCGTGGAGAACAGGAAGCTGCTGCAGTGCCCCTGCTGGACAGACTGGTGAATATATTCACACGACGAACCTTCATCAGAGCTGTCCCATACACTTAGGCTTTGTGATGTAAAAGCATGTATCAATGCAGTTTTATGAAGAGATTATATTCTGTAACTTGTGGCTTTATTCATGGGAATTGAGTATTTAAAAGTTATATATTAAAAGCTAATTATAGGTTTGGGTTGAAAGTTGTTAAAAATCATGTAACTTCTTATTTCCTGGGACATTTAATAACTTATTTCCACATTACAATGGCAGACTTGGACGCTTTAATAATGACGTATTTACAAACAGAACATGGAAAAAACAAGAGTATGTATGATTGGATCACTAACTTTTTAAACCGCATTATAACCATCTAGAAAGGATGAACCAACACAATTTTGGTAGGCCAGAAATTGTTCTTATTGGTGCTTATACATTTAAAATATCTAGTATTGACTTTAATAACTCTGGTCCCCAAATACTTTTTATAAAGACTGAAGGAAAAAAGACAAAAAGTACATTTATGATTAAAAAAAAAGAAGTGATAATTGGTTAAATAGATTTATTTTGTCAGATAGTTAATTGATGATATTGACACTGATCAATAGTCAGACTGACAGCCTTACCTTTTTTTCTGAATTAGACTCGGCCCTTTTGTCAGGAGTCGGTGTGATTGGCCGCATCTCGTACTGCTTATTGGACGATGAAGGAGGTGGAGGTGGAGGGGGCGGGGCTCCACTGTAGCTGCTGCCTCCCGATTGGTCGAGCAGGTTGCTCATGGAGTTACTGCTTCGGAGAGATGAGTGTCTGAAATTAAATTAAATAAAGAATTTTTTTTTCATTCCCCTGAAATGCTTTTTGTCCTTCATACTCAAACGATATCAGATTTTAACACCATCAATATTAGGGTTAGGCAAAGGGATTTCATTTCAAAATCAAATGGTCAGTGCATTAAATCGACATTCTTTTTTTTATTATAGGCATAAAACCCTAGCATGGGTCTACAGGGACTGAGCAAAGTTTTGGTTTGAACACTTTTACTGGGTTTCCTCACAGCAATGGGCCACCCAAATATATTAAATAGTTCATGTTATTATTCCAGGCCTCTACTTCATGCTGACCCTCTTTTAAAATATTGAGCCCATAAAACAATAAGGACAGCCTGGGGGAGCTTCACAATATATCCTGTATCAGGTTGAAAAGCAAATGGCTGCAAATAAATAATTTATTGTATTTTTTGGACTGTGAGAGGTAAGGCATAAAAACATGAGGCAAGCCACTGTGGGACCGCGGGCGAGACAGGCAGCATTGTTAAAAATACTCCTCTTAAAACATAAAAACACAATTCATTTTTCAATTTAATTCATTTGGGAGAGTGACATTGGGTAATGCAGTTCTGTTTGTCATTCAGTCATTCATGATTAGATTTAAGGGTCTGAGATTTGTAAACTTAATTTTTTATTTGTACTTGCTTGTCATGTAACGATGAATAGGTTGCTATGGCTTTAATAGTAGATTAACAATTGATAGAAAATATACAATGAATCCTATTCATCACATAATGAATAGCGTACTCAAAATATGATCATTAATGTGTTAGACTTAAGCCAATTAAAGAATAGTTTGAAGCAAATAATGTGATAAGTCATGCTAGTAGTTTCCTTAATGGTGGTTGTGCTAAACTAAGCTAAGCTAACCAGCTGCTTCAAATGCTGGAAAGCTTTTGCCATGGTGTTAGTGCACAGTAGGAGTCATTCACTGTATCTATCAAAAGCCTGCTCTTGGTATCACATGTCGTTTTTATTGAACACAGTGTATTGGATGTTTACCCAGAGCTGGGTGCTGTTGGAGGATCGTCCACCTGCTCCACATAGGAGGCTGGAAACCATCCCTGACTGAAAACAAAAAAGCCAGACAGTGAAGTTAAGTGGAAGTGGATTAGATCATGTGTTAAGGGGCCCTGTTATGCTTTTAAGAATAATTGTACGCTTCTATTGGCTAGCTCTCCAACACATTGTTCGTGATAGGCTAAGGGGTGGGACATCTCTAAGCGGTTGACCAATCACAACAGAGCCAGCCAGCTAACCAATCAGAGCAGACTGGGCTCTGGTTTCAGACAGAGGGTGAAAAGAGGTGCTGCAGCACAGGCAGTATAAGAAAAATAAAGAGCTTTTTGAACATTAAAGCATGGAAGCATGTCCCAGTAGAGACACTACATACTGATATACACCTGAACATCAGCAGGAGAGGACTCTTTAAAGTAGAGACACTACATACTGATATACACCTGAACATCAGTAGGAGAGGACTCTTTAAAGTAGAGACACTACATACTGATATACACCTGAACATCAGCAGGAGAGGACTCTTTAAAGTAGAGACACTACATACTGATATACACCTGAACATCAGCAGGAGAGGACTCTTTAAAGTAGAGACACTACATACTGATATACACCTGAACATCAGCAGGAGAGGACTCTTTAAAGTAGAGACACTACATACTGATATACACCTGAACATCAGCAGGAGAGGACTCTTTAAAGTAGAGACACTACATACTGATATACACCTGAACATCAGCAGGAGAGGACTCTTTAAAGTAGAGACACTACATACTGATATACACCTGAACATCAGCAGGAGAGGACTCTTTAAAGTAGAGACACTACATACTGATATACACCTGAACATCAGCAGGAGAGGACTCTTTAAAGTAGAGACACTACATACTGATATACACCTGAACATCAGCAGGAGAGGACTCTTTAAAGTAGAGACACTACATACTGATATACACCTGAACATCAGCAGGAGAGGACTCTTTAAAGTAGAGACACTACATACTGATATACACCTGAACATCAGCAGGAGAGGACTCTTTAAAGTAGAGACACTACATACTGATATACACCTGAACATCAGCAGGAGAGGACTCTTTAAAGTAGAGACACTACATACTGATATGAACCTGAAGATGAGCAGAATATGACCCCTTTAAAAAATGTAACTTCTTACTTCAAAACCCTAATGTTCTGTAAAGTTTCTATAGCAGAGTCACTGCATCCCACAGCTTTTTGAACATTAAAGCATGTAAACATGTCACAGTAGAGGCACTACATACTGATATCAACCTGAAAATGTGCAGAATAGGGCCCCTTTAAGCAAGACAGATGCCACACATATACGCATTCATCTCTCACCGTGAGCTGCTGTCGGTGCGTCCGTACAGCCAGCCGTTCCTGGGCTGTTGGACCAGCACAGAGATCGTCTCGCCCCTGCTGAAGGGCAGCAGGGTGGGGTTGGAGCCGCTGGGCTGGTGGGCCACCCGGGCCCTCGTGGACCTTCCTCCTGCGGAGCGAGACACGCTTCCCACGGGAGACGGAGCTGGAGAGACGAGGAATGAAAGGGGCAAATAAGAGGATTTGTTAAAGCACGAATCAGATGATAAACCAGCTTGAACGTCAAAGCAAGATCTCTAGTGAAATGATTCATTATAAAAATAAAGGCGGCAAGGATTTTTTAATGATGGCCCTGGAATTAGTAACACAGAGGGTTAGCAGACTACTAAATACTTTACTTTATGCATAATTATTTTTGCTTAGATGGCAGTTAATTGAATTACACCAGAGAGGGAGGCAGACTGTTTGGGCTAATTAGCGTGCTGCAAGCAATGTTTCAGAAGGGCACAAGTGGAATATAGGAAGAAATGGCTGTTTAATATTCTAGAGTTTGTTTATTGTCTGTTTTTGATACTTTGGTTCTTTATCTTTTCTTTCACTCTAGATAAGCAAGCCAAGTAATTAGACAGACTTTCTGCACAGGAATGAGAAGCTGTGCAAGTGTGCAAAATGATGAGGAGAGAAAGATAGACCAGAGAGAGAGAAACGGAGATAAAAGGCTTAAAGAGCGATAAAAAGGGTGGAGAATTGAAGGCAGAATTAGCTCTGGTGGAGGCATTATGGGCCCCAAATCATTTACTGACATAATTAATATTACAGAAACACTTTAGGGATACACGTGATATTAAATATGTGGCACAGAAGTGAAAGTCTGAATATTTTGATGTTACAGTGATAGGTGTTTAGAGCCTTCGAACAGCGGTTAAAACGTGTCAGTCAGTGATGGGAGAAGTATTGAGATATTTTACTTTAGACAAAGTACTGATACCACTCTGTTGAACTACACCACTAGATATACAAGTTGTGATGTGACTTACATCTAAAATCTGAGTATTTGTACCAAAATGTAATTAAAATAAAACAAGTAAAAGTATTCAGTGTGCAGGAATATGTTCTGATGCGATGGTGTCGATGCATGTTTCCGCTGATCCGAGGCTTTTTGCAATAGTTTAACTGATAGAAAAAAAGCAACACTTCAATTAGTTTATGACAAAAAATCTACAAATCTTGGGATTCATGCTTTTAACCGAACGAGAACGGAATGGCAAACCTGAACCTCAAACATGAAAATAGAGTTAAATGTACAATTTTGAATCTGATATAGAAGTATAATGTAGCCGAAAAAATTGAAATAATCAAAAAAATGTAAAAATACTGCGACTTCGTGCTTAAAGGTAGGGTAGGTAAGAATGGAGAAACCAGCTCGAGTGCGCTAGAATTTGAAAGTACACAACCGGAAAAAATCTGCCCCTTCCTTCAGACTTCCTTACAGAGCCCCTCCTCCAACACACACGAACTCGCACATGACCAATGAGGGCACGAGATAAGTTTGTGCACAGATGGAAGGCTGACAGGCAGGTAGGCCATCCAGTTATTTTAGCCGGGCCGGCTCAGATGATTGGTCGTGCTTTTTACAGCGCTACGACTTCCACAGATGACATTTTTTTATGTATTTATTGTCAAAGCATTTAATGTATTCTTTGCTATCGGGATGCTAAGAGCATTCCATGGAATATAAAAAAAAGTGTTTTTGAAGTGAATTACCTACCCCACCTTTAAGTACAGTGCGTGAGTAACTGCCCATACTGTAGTTAAATGTGTTGAATGAATCCCCTCACCCCTTGATGGTATTTTGCCGAGGGGAAGCTCCTCTCTGCTCTTCCTCATGTCCTCTTTCATCGACATCTGTACAACAACACATACACCAGTTGGAGTTAATATATCTTGTAAACCTCAGGGTATAATGTGATCATAAAAGCAAAGGAGAAACAAAGAAAAGCAGCTCATGTGTCAGAAATAATGGATTCTACAAGGAGGACATTTATATTTGAGTTCCAACAATAAGTCAACGTATCCATTAATAAGATCACTGCCAAATATTATAATAACCAATTAAAATTAAAATGTTTTCATGCTAACATTTTGAAAATGCTGTGTTTAGCCTGTTAAATATGGACATACTGTACTGCTTTCCCCTTTTATATGATATTAAGAAGACGACATTTCAACACCTTGAGCTTTGAGAAAGTAAGATGGTCATTTTTTATAGTATTTTCTGACACTATATAGATCAGAAGATTAATCGGGAAGAAATCTCCAGATCAATGGAAATATATTTTCTCAATCAACTGTCTGCAGCCCTAACTGTAGAAGCACAGCTGAAATATCTGTCTAACGCGGCTCATGGCTTCTCTCCGTTATAAGCAAAGGATAAATCCCGCGTTGGACCACAACAAACACAGAATCCATGTTAATCCTTCGATTGTTATTACAGTAGGATGTGGGATGTGCAGATTCGTTGGCACGTCACCTCCAGATGAGGAACAGACGGAAACTGACAGGGTTTATCTCAGGGGCGTCCCTGTTGTTTATTTAAATGGTAATTTCAGCCCTCCTATAGAGAACCATATGGCTTCAGTTTGTGAATTATCCATAGTGTGTTAATGCCACTGTCTTTACTGTAGATGTAGAGCCATATTTAATTTAGAGTGCATTATAAGATCTGTGTTTAGATGATACAAGGTCCATATTTCAGTTAATGTGAATGTTTGTAAAGAATACAGCATATGTATTTATTTTAATGCCAGACAATCTGTAATCTCTGCCTTTCTGTTCCAGCTGCAGGTTTAATCCTTCTTTAGAAAGCTTTGACAGAAAACTGATGACTTTCAAATGAAATCAGCTTCTAACCAGCAGAGGGCACTCTTGTAACAAAAATAGTATTGCAATTATTTACATGTTCCCTTTGGTACACTGCCTGTGCATAAGTATAATCCATTTCTTTGTTTCACAGTTCACAACGTTTACCCCAAAAAGTGCAAAATATTTGACTGGTTCAACCTCTGTTATCCATCTCACAAGATACTTACCTCGAACACTTCCCCTCAGTTCACCCCCAAAGACAGGATTATGTCTTACACCAGCAGTTTATTTTGGGAGTTTTTAGAGCAACTCTCATTGAATAATTCAGTAAACACAACAGATTTCTTAAAACTGAACTCACCAAGTTTTCCACAGAAGTAGGGCGTCTGGCCTCTGGTCCTCTGGTGGCCCCCACCTCCTCCGTCCAGGTATCAGCCCTCTGCTGGAGAGACCCTCCTGTCTGCAACACAACAAACACAAACACATGTGAATAATTGCTTTTTACATCAAAATATGTCATTCAGGTGAATATTGTAGATCTGAATAGTTTAATAATAGAATCGGTTTTTTCAACCATTTCCCATAGTAATCTACTTGCCAGCAATGTGAACCCAGAAATGTTGAGTATCCCAAAAGTTTTATAATAGAAATGTATAGTACGGGTCCCCATTACATAGAAACTGCCCAATGCTAAATTGCATATGTTGGGGAATTTGTACAATTAGCATAAGTTTCATTAATTAGCATTATTCAGCATATGCAGACAATAGCAACAAAAATTGCTTGGCCGATTTTGAGAACTTTGGTGTGGTTTTTAACGTATATTGAGGATGTTCATTTTTAGGATGATAAATGGCAGTTATGAGTCCCATAAAACTTTAAATAGAATCAAAATGTATCAAAACGTGACCACTGGGGCTACACATATGGCCACTCTCTGGTGAAAACTGCCATTTTTGATCCTGAAAATGTCAGAAACGTATTCAACATCTTCAATAACCCCCCAAAACAACTCAGAAATTCTCCAAATAGCCAAGCCATTTTTAAACTATCGTCTGCGGGCTATAATGTTATGAATGCTAATTAACGCAACTTATGCTAATTGGGCAAATTGTTATCTTCCGGCAGATTCTATGTTCTGGGGAACCGTACTATACATTTCTTACATAAAACGTTGGGGTACTCAACATGTCCAGGTTCACAGGCAGGAAGACTGAAGAGCAGAAACGGTTCTGAAAACTGTTGTCAAGTGGGGATCTTCTCCTCAATAAAACATCTGAGCCTTCTGGCCAATCAGAATCAAGATATCTCCAACGTCTTGTTGCCGGAAGTCCCGAGGCAGAATAACTTTTTGCGGTTCACATTTAAACATCCATGGTTCAACTTCAATTGATGGTAGTTTTTAGGTAAGTCTCGTTTGTTGCTAAATTAACGTAAAAATAATTAGTTGCCAACTTAACACGTGTGCAGTGGTGAAAAGTAACTAAGTACATTTACTCAAGTACTGTGAGAGACTTGTACTTTACTTGAGTTTTTGCATGTTGTGCTACTTTGTACTTCTACCCCCCTACAATTCAGAGGTAAATGGTGTACTTGTACTCCTCTACATGTATTTAATCCCTTTAGTTACTTTACAGATCTGGATGAATGATGTGAAATATAATCAAGCGTTAAATCAGACTTTAGTTCCACCTGGAGTAAATTCACAAGCTACCCTGCAGTATACAAAGTCATTCAAACTAGCTGCACCTTTACCAGCTTTGAGAACACTTTAATGATCAATCATTATAAAACATATCATATATATTATTCTGAAATGGACCAATCTGAAGAATAAGTATTTTTACAGTTGGTTCTTTAGGTATATTTTTATGCTAATACTTGAGTACTTTTACTTGAGTAACATTTTGATTGCGGGTCTTTTACTGTAACAGAGTATTCCTACACTCTGGTACTTCTAGTTTTACTCAAGTACAAGATCTGAGTACTCCTTCCACCTCTGCTTGTGCTAGCTTTAAATTACTTACATTATTTTATCTCAAAGGTTGACGTTTCATAATGTTCTGCTTTCACCATAAACACTCTTCCATACTCTTTCTATTTAATGTAACGAGTATTATTTTACTGTGTTATTCACTTTGTAAATCATTGAGACTTAATAAGGCTGTTCAAAAAGCCTTATCAACAAAAGGCAGAGCAAATGTCTCTTCAAGTGGCAGCAGTATAAGAGGTTACAAGGTCATATTTAATGTTATGAGCCTTGTATTTACATTGTTATCGTACTTATCTTACGGAGAGTTAAGAACACACGTCACGTCATTTCTCCTGAACTACCTGTACAGTCTCAATATGATGACTAAGGGTGGATACTGTACGAAAGATGTCCGTCACACTTTAACTGTTTACATAAAGTGGAGTCATAAAAAGTCCATAGTTCAAAAGAGCTGTTAGAGGCATCAGTCCTGCTTAACAAACTGAGAGTGTATCTTCGTTCTGCGGAAGAACCTCGTTATACCGGAGGAGGATTTCCCCACGGGGGCCGATAAACTCTCACATAATCATTACACATTATTGTGAAATCTCTTTTAAGTGCCGTCCTGTCATTGTCTCCCTCACATCCCCTTGCAATGAATTGGAAGACTAACCCGACGTTTGGCACTTGTAGTCAATAAGCCAAAGCAAACTGTAAAATATTGAGAGGATATTTGAAGTGAGGTGTATACCTTATTCATGAGGTGTGCGATGGATTGGATCAGGCCGCAGTGTTTCTCCGACAGGAAGCGGTATCGCCTCTCCTCCTCCTTTAAAGCCTCGCTGTGGCTCTCCCTGAGGAACTGCACATACTCACTGCAATCCTGAGGAGACACATCATTGACAGTGGGTTACATATATATATATACGGAGGTGTGTGGCGCAGTGGGTTGTGCGTTGGAGTTCGCATCAGGGGGTCACAGGTTCAAACCCCACTGCAGTCAGCATGTCGTTGTGTCCCTGGGCAAAACACTTCACCCCAAATTGCTCCTGTGGGGATTGTCCACAGTATTGAGTATGTAAGTCGCTTTGGATAAAAGCGTCTAACAAGTAACATGTATAGTAATGTAATGTAATATATATACTCTACAACAGGGGTGTCCAAACTACGGCCCGGGGGCCAAATGCGGCCCGCGGACCATTTTGAATCGGCCCTCAGCAAATTCAAAAAGTATAATGGAATATGGCCCACAAATGAAACTTGTGCTTGTCTTATATTGTACTTCTTGTTAAGGAATAATTCTTCTAGATATCTAACCTTTTGCTCTGTGACGTTTTATGATCTACTCTGACGTCTGTTATCTCCTTTAAGGAAAGGCATTGTGACCGGTCAACTCTCGGGCACGAATGGTAATTGTTGTGAGAACGCTGAGGCACTTCTTTATCGGTGTTTGTGGACTCTAAGGTGTGAAATCTTTGAGGCCATAAGTGTCGGACGCAAGTGATTCAGTGTTCCCAGCTGTTTAGTCTACTCCTTCAGAGATGTTGATTTCTCTCTGTGAACCAGTTAAAAGGTCTAGCATAGAGAGAGGCTCTTCAGAATTGACGTGGCAACTCTCCCGTGAAGTCAGACCCTCTGACTCGTGACTTGTGATGTGAATCCTCCGGCCGATACTCTGAATAAACCATCAGTGTTTGACATCAAAGCTCCAACTCATCCCGTGTCTCCTTCCTGAGTCGGTGACTCCCACTGCATTGCTACACAGAAGTTTCCCCCACACTTCTTAAATGTAAAAATATATTACACAGTAGTATTCGCGTGTTAATAAATAAGACCTTATTTTCAAATAAATTCATTCAATTCAAGTTGGATACATTTTCTAACATATCTTAGTTGATAAGAAAAAGCCCAATGACTTATTTCCATAACAAGCTTGAAATACACCCTTCATATTTCTCCTTATTATAATCAATGTGAGGCTTCTGTTGTAAGGGATGAGCTGCCAACACTCACAAGCATCATGTACCTACATTTGATTGATTGTGCTAACTTATAACTGAACTTATGAGGCGATATACCTCTAGTGAGTGGCCCAGCCCTTCGTATATTTTTCTGTATGTGGCCCTCGGAGAAAAAAGTTTGGACACCCCTGCTCTACAATGACACATTCATATATTGTACATTGGTGCAGATTTTTTGCTTCGGATGGCAGAAATAGAAAGAAAGAAACCTGGTTGGCTCCTCTCCTCAGCTGTCGGTCCATAGACACTGCCTGGTTGTGCACTTCCATCTCATAATGCTTCCTGCTGTCCTGCAGAGGAGAGGATTCACATTATGTCTGTGTGAAATCACCTCAGTTATCCAGGTAACAATTAGCACTCCAGAGGAAATTAAAATGGCATCTTTTTCGCTAATGACAATGATAGTTATTCATTTTACATTTCTTCCTGGAAATAATAATGAGAAACAGTAACAGCTTCTCATTTTAATTTCCTTTTGACCTCGCTGTGCCTTTGCTTTGCCCTCATTTGCTGCATTTCTATCTTGTAGTTGAGAGGGAAATGGTTTTTCTACAGTATTCCGGTCACAGTCTAAACTTACTTTTAGAGTGAGACAAAACTACTTGCTTAATGGAACATCCTGACTTTAGTTGAGCGTTGTCCTGTGACTCAGGGTATGTACTAAGTAAAATACATTACATACCGTTACTTTTTGGTTAGGTAAAGATACGATAATTGTGATACGTCATAAACAAACATTACCTGGGTGATAATATTGATATTGATATTGAAGTGACTGTTATTTTGTATATATTGATTGTTTTTTATCTTAATGTGTGCATATGTGTAAATGTGTCTGTTGATTGTGTATATACTGTAGGATATACATATTTGTATACATATCTGTATATTGTATAATTGTATTTTTGTATTCGGGATTGTTGGAAACGTCATTTCGATCTCTGTCTGAACTGAAAGATTGACATTAAAGTTGACTTTGACTTTGATATGTTTAGCTAAAAAAACACAATTGGCAATGGCATTTCGTTGAATGGGAACATTGTGTTTGTAGTAGACCAGATTGCTCACTGATATATAAGTTCTGTCCTGTCTAATGTTGTTGTCCATCTCCTGAAGAACCTCCATAGTGAACCAGCGGAACTGGAAAGTGACAAAAATATATAAAACACATCAGAAAATTGAAAATCAGAGTTTGATCACGATAACAAGTCGTGATGGATAGATAAGTGTAGTATTAACGGTACTTACTACTCCATCCAACTCCACAGTGAGTCTTCTTTGGCTCTCAGAGATCTGAATCAGGACTTCCCCTTTAACACAAGCGCATTACATGTTACATCAATAATATCACTAAATACATAACTTCAAAACAATAAAATGTAATATATTATATTATGTAGCCTTTTGTAATAGGATATAATCTTTCCACTCGTTCATTTCCATCGACTCATTACCCAAAATCAATCAATAACCCTAATGTCTTAAACACACTACAGGGAACACTGTCTCTAAAAATAGAAGTTGCTTTATTATTGCAGTTTCAGATAAGATAACATGTTCTTCATTGTTCTACATGGACATTTCTCTTGCACATACATGCAGAGGACATAGGCTTAAATGCACATGTTGAGTGTGTAACAGTAGTTCTTGTAATATTAATAATATAGTAATAAAAAGTAATGAAAGTCAAGAGTGTCAAATACTAAAACCAGGTAAAATCGTACCATATCATCAATAATTATTAACAATCTATTAGTCCCCGATAAAACCAAAGCATATAATACCTGTTTCTTGTTTTGATGGAATTGTTGTATTAGTTTAACTTCAAATGTAATATTCTGAACCGTCTCCCTGAAAGCGTCTTCTCAAATTCTGAATGTGTGTTGGGTCGTTCAAAATCTAATTTGTCTCCACAAGCACATACAGTATATTTCATATAAGTTCCCAGCAGCCTCTCTGCCTTTTCCTCTGTCTATGTTCCCTTATAAGGTTCACAAAACCACAGGAGATTTCTTGTCTTTCAACTTCACAAATCCTCAAAGAATGGATGAATAATATCCCGCACTGCTGCAGAATAATAATGAAAAATCTAAAACCCATTTCCTATGTTGCAACCAGGTAGAAACTTGGGAAACGGGTTAAAAAAAAAGAAGTTTTAGATACTTAGCGATCAAGCGTAATGCTAATACCTGAGAGACTTAAACCGGAGCTGTTTTTAAATGTTTGTGATTTGTTAATGTCATTTTTATCCTAGAAGTTAACTGCTATCGAAGCTATGCTCTGCTAGCTGTCTGAGGCTAACATGTTGCTAATACAACAGATACTTTGCTATTGAGCTAACTAATACGTTTCATGCTGTTTAGTCTTTAACTCTTGTAGACTTACTGTTACATTGTTAATTTAATTTTATCAAAGCAGCTAAATGCTAACAAAGCTAGCTGCTATACTAGCTGTCTGAGGCTAACGTGTCGCTAATACAACTGCTAATTTACTGCTGGCCTAACTCAGGGTTGCCAACTTTGGGTACCTGGCTGGAGTGAGATTTTGATATCATGGGTTTAATTACAAATATGCGCACTAAATGACTGCTATCGTGTCAGTAGCGGGACCTTAGCATATATATAGGATATATATATACAATATATACAAATACACATTATTGGACACAGACTATAAAGGGCACACAGTTTCATTCACTAATGAAAGTCAAACATGTTTGTTTCCACTGTTTTATTGTGTGCCTGTCGCGATAAGCAATTAATTGACTTATCGTACGATAAATAAAAATGAACTCGATAACCTTTCTGACCTCGATAAATTGCCATTTACATGAGGATGTGACTAGCAGTTTGAAAGGATGTACTTGAATAATTATTATATATTATCATTATGTCTGTGGTCTAAAATGGTCATACAACGGTGCCGACAATATTATCGTTTATCGCAATAATTTCCGGGAAAATGTATCCAACAAAATTAATTATCGTGAGAGGCCTATACATGAAACACACACACACAAGCAAATCTACAGACTTACTCCAAACTGCCAAATATATTAATTAACACACTCTCACTCTCATATACTCTTTGACTCTATTTTTGGCCTAGTAGAACAATAAGCAGCAGGCTTTTACTTTTTTATCATTTCTACTGGATCTCAGATCTGCGCATGCGCAATACGGGTCGGGGATTGACCAACCGGCTCCCACTGCTCTGCTGTCTGTTAACGTTGTTAAGAGTGGTGGGGGCGGGGAGGGAGCGGATCGACAGCTTGAGCAGCAACATTGTAAATAACCAACCAAATACGATCGCCGGTTCATCTTGTTTTTGGCGTGAGAAAAGTTTGGGCAGCGTGAGATTGAGAGTGAAAGCGCCAGATGCGTGAGAGTTGGCAACCCTGGCTAACTGTTAAATGTCTTGCTGTTTGAATTTTTACTTGTGTAGACTTTATGTTAATGTGTCACTGGTGGTGCTTTATTTCTTCCTGGTTGAAGGGGTGCAGTGTCACTTCTTTGAAAGCTAAATACACTTTTACTACAGTTTCCTTCTTACTCTGCCAATGTATTTTTAGACTATCTTTGTTCTGTGTTAATGTTTCTGACCTATGAGGGTGTTTATCTGATGTCGTCATTATTTATGGTGTGATCATTATCAATGAGTTTCCGAATAGTCTTTTGACGCAGCTGCTACTGGTAAATGCCAACTGCTTTGACACTGTGCTTAGATATATACTGTATGTTTAGGTATTTTTTTAGGGGCAGAAAAATACCTAAACATATGATAAAAGCATAAATCCTTTTTTAAAGCAGTTTGACCATTACGTTTTGCCATCATATTCTGGAGAATGTATGTTGGAGTTGTTTAGTTCGACCTGTCAATGGCTATGAAATGCACACTGGGATCCCTTTCCTGTAGTGAAACAGCACTGTTACAGTACACTAATGATCCAGTTTGGACAAAATCTTCAACCCCAGCCACTAAACCTTACATGACTCCCGTTTAGAGTGGCTGGGTTAAGTGAGCGGAGCACGGCCGGCTGCCTGTCATCATCTATTATTCATGTTGCCGGCGGGCTTCTGATACCTGATCCAACATCTTTGTTTGAAGTCACAGAAAAACAAACATAAACTGTGTTGCCTTATGCAGGGCACGAGCCATTGCTAGTTATATAATATACAACAAGTCTTACACTAAGTCTTACACACTTACACATCAAAGAGTATGCTAATAACACACACACTACGCATTCACTGTGTCTTAGTTACTGTACTGTAAGAGCGGCTATAGTAACGCCAGAGGGTTGGTCTTCATGATGCGGAAGAACAATATTGAAATAGTTTAATAAATGGCCATAAACGCATCAAAGACAAAACGCTCACATCCTGGATTGTAGATAACAGAATACCTTCCTTGTGTTTCCGCTCATTAATTGGGAGATAGCAAAAGCCAGCTGAGCGTAAACATGTTCACACGTACCTAGGGAGCGTGAGGATATGGTGTGGAAAGCCCTCTCCCCAATCTTTGAAAGTGCACTGAAGTAGGCCTCACTGGTTACTGCCAGATCTGAAACACACACACACACACACACACACACACACACACACACACACACACACACACACACACACACACACACACACACACACGCACACAGTCATTTGAAATGCAAATGTGTTTGTTGCAAATAATTTCCCCTGGCATAGAACTACAAAAGCAGCTAAACAGCCATTAATCATGAGAGTATATGTTATAATTAGATCATATGTTTAATTATAAACCGGAGCATAAAATCACATCAGAATCATATTCCTTTCGATTGCAATAACCATGAAATCTTTCTTTGCCTTCCTCCCTTGCTATCACTTTTGCCTGGTATCATATTATGGCATATGAATACGTACCATTTTTAAAGTAATTTTGTCTGTTATCTCTACGCATGTGTGGCTCTCCCTGTGCTATAAGGTAACAAAGTATAAAGAGTGAGAAAGTCCATCCAAACCAGAGGATGGGGTAAAATAAAAAGCCTTTGTATTTTAATCCAAACTATCTTTTCCTAAACCTCACAACTCCTCTATATGAGACATGTTATTCATGAGAAATGGGTGATTATGACACAATATCATCTTAAATGACCCCCAAAATGTCCTTAAAAGTGGTATGCTTTGTATACACCTTCCCATAAAATCACATTGTGCATTTAGACAACCTGCTATTATGGTTAAATGTCTACTCAAGGCTAGTGTATCCCTTTACATATCCCAAAATGCAGTAACCCTAACCCTACTGAATGAGGAGCCTTCTTAATTTAAAAAAAAAAACAATCTGATTTAATGTATCAAAAATGTATGATTTCAAATTACAACTAAACTAACAGTAGTGCCAAATCTAGGGGAAGCTAGCGGTTAGCCTTGGCTCAAACTAAATGTATATTTACTATCGCTTTGTAGGCCTACTTGAATTAAATATATACATATTGATGAATTAACATCTTGGGGATTTAGTTTGTTATCCCACGTAAATAATATTGTAGCTAAATCCAGTCATTGAGAACAAAAACAGCTAAACTAGTCCTGCCTAAAGCTAACTAGCCTAGCTAGCAGAGTAAGCTAAGTAAATGGCATAGGTTTTAACTAGTGAATTCATGATTAGATTTGGTGTGGTTAGGTTTCTTTTAAATGACATTGTAATGTATTTAATTGAAAATAATTTATAATTTGGATTTAAATCTTCTTTGAATGTTTTAAAGCCTAAATACATTTCTTCTAGCATTTTTTCTAGTTACTGCTATCTGCATTTGTAGGGCGGTAAAAAGTCAAAAGGGGTGAAATCTCAGTTTGACCTCAATTAATGTTTTCGGACAGGTTTAGATCCCAAAGCAGAGATTTGATGGTCTTTTATATGGTAAATGTTAAATGTTCTGTATTTAAGTCTTTTCTACCATAGTGGAAGCTTCAGCTGCATTTTTTAATAAGGTGAGAATGACTTGTTTTTAATGAATGGGGATACAGCCAGTGCAAACCAACCAATCAAGCACTCCCAGAGGCTGTAAAACTAATACATATCAATAGTTAAAATCAATGTGATGGCGCTTTAATAACAATAGATAGGGAGATCCTGAGCAGCATCCACTACCGGTTTAAAAAGTAGATTATCATTAGGAGGAGAAGATGCTTCAGTAGAATCCAAACACTGATTTAGATTCGGTTTGAGCTTTAGCTTATTAAAATGTCATGTATTTATTGCACTTCCCTTGAAAAGTTTATTAACAGCTTGTATATTGGGTACAGTACAGTATCCCTGAACTCTGGGCGGGGATTTATAGACTCTGTGAGACATAATAATCTGTACTTTATGTCTGCTGGGCTTCTGGTGCAGCGGCGCTCCTATGGTGTATTTGATGATGTATCATTACTGCTCTTGCATATATTAAACACCTACTATGATGTTGAATAATGTTAAAAGCTTCACCATAAATGTTAATGTCAGGGAACTTAATTTGCATGACAAAATGTCCCATTTAATGCACTGCACAGGGATTAGAAGAGATGTTAAAAATGAAGACATCAAATACAGACACAATTAATATGCCTTCAGGTTTAATGAAACACTAGTCACAAATAGAGCAGAGATACAATTTCAAGACTCAGTATCCCTGCCTCTGTATGTGAGAATAACATATCCTGTAGTTGTGGTGCATTGTTTGTTTGTGAAGATATACTGTAGGCTATTTATAACGACCTCTGGGTTACAGGCCCATAATAAAGGCGATAATAGCACCAGGATATTCCAAAAGCATGTGGACTTTGAATTAGGTCTAGTTGACCCGACAGCTTCCATGTAAAGCCATTTTAACGGGGCAAAAATAACCTGAAAGTAAAAAGTCTCAAAGGGAGATTCTCTTTCTTACCCTGGAAAGCTTGGACGTAGCTGTTTCCCAGTGAGACCAGTTTCTGTAGACTTGGGTTGAAGTCGTCCATCAAGCTCTGAAAAACACACACACACACACACACACACACACACACACACATAGCACATGTTCTGTTAAATATTTCAAAGTCAGAGGAACTTTAAAACCAAACTAAAGGGGAGTCAAAGGAATCCATCTTTTATTCAATCTATATTTATGAGCACAAAGTCTACCTCCATACTCCTTGAATTTGAAACAGACTCTCGTGAATTCACATCATGTTTGCTTAGCAGAGAAGACCTTAAAATAACTTCACTCCTAGAAATGTAATATTCTCCAGAAACTGCCCGAGTTCATAGAAAAGTATCTGAAGAAGAAATCAAAACACATGACAGGACACTCTTACTCCTGTGGTTATCTTTAGCACCTCGTAGGTAAGTTTGTTGTCTAATTTGAGCCTCCATACTGAGTATCTGTTACTCACCGAGTAAATCCCCATGGTGGAGCGATACAGCTGATCACTATTCATCCCCGACATGTTTATATCCACAGTAGCTGTCAGCGAAGCCTTGAGAAAGGTTTGCAGGGTTTTAAATCATCCGGCAAATGTACCACGGCCTCTGTAGAAATGGAGATAATAGTATTAAACTGGACGTGGAGTTGAGGAGAGGCGGAAGTGTGTGTCAGTGTGTTGGTAACGGACACCACTGTTGCCTGAGAAAGACTGGAGTAAATAATTAAACATGGCCCGGCCATAAAACACACAGACATATGCTGTAAACCCTGGGTGTGTGTGTGTGTGTGTGTGTGTGTGTGTGTGTGTGTGTGTGTGTGTGTGTGTGTGTGTGTGTGTGTGTGTGTGTGTGTGTGTGTGTGTGTGTGTGGTGTGTGTGGTGTGTGTGTGTGTGTGTGTGTGTGTGTGTGTGTGTGTGTGTGTGTGTGTGTGTGTGTGTGTGTGTGTGTGTGTGTGTGTGTGTGTGTGTGTGTGTGTGTGTAGCTGTGTGTGTAGTGTGTGTGTGGTGTGTGTGTGTGTGTGTGTGTGTGGTGTGTGTGTGTGTGTGGTGTGTGTGTTGTGTGTGTGTGGTTGTGTTGTGTGTGTGTGTGTGTGTGTGCCTGATCCTATGTTTTATTCAAGACTATAACAGAGATCTGTTTTCACTCTGTACTTCATAAAACCCTTAAATATACAGCAAACAACAAATACTTTTAGAAATTAGTCATGAAAATCAGAAGCCCTGAGAGGCAAGTCTAAGAAATATCATTTAAGTCTGATTTTTACTGCAGTGTTAACCAGTGATGGAAGAATTATGTCAGGTTAGTATTTCTAAGTTCATTTTATTTTTGGTTTAAGAAAAATATTTAACAATACTATCAATTCAGTTTTTTGGCTGTAAATACATTTTTATTGTCGCTTTTTACCTGAAGGGGAAAAAATATATAGATTTTTACGGTGGCCCTGAAGTGCAAGTCAAAACAGAAAAACACTGCAGCATTTCAGAAAACACTGCAGCATTTCAGAAAACACTTCAACATTTCAGAAAACGCTACAGCATTTCACAAAACGCTACAGCATTTCACAAAACGCTACAGCATTTCACAAAATGCTTTAACATTTCACAAAACACTTCAACATTTCAGAAAACGCTACAGCATTTCAGAAAACGCTACAGCATTTCACAAAACGCTACAGCATTTCACAAAACACTTTCAACTTTTACGGAAAGGGTATTCCTTTAAGGAGAACACTTCTTGTTTGTGATTGGACAGAGCCAGCCAGATAAGCACTGCTGTGATTGGTTGTTTTTGCTGCCAGTCAAGAAATTACGCTTCGTGATTGGTCAGCACCCGACAGCGCAACATGTCCCAAAACATCAGCCATTAGCTGTTAGCACACAGAGCTCACAGCTCCTCATATCTGTTCAGAAACTGGACAAAAGTTAAACAAGTACAAACCATAGACTGTCTATGTCATGGTGAATACAGTCGCTGCTTTATTTATGTCTGTATGACGCTGTTGTGAGTGTGGACGGAGCAGCTACAGGTTAGTTTATCCTGATCGATCCGTTCTCCATTCAGAAAACACGCATTTTAAAAGGTTTTTCGCCTGCAGTCTTGTCTGCAGACTTGTCAAAGCATTAATTCATTTTTACAAGCGTTTTGTGAAATGCTGTAGCGTTTTGTGAAATGCTGTAGCGTTTTGTGAAATGCTGTAGCGTTTTGTGAAATGCTGAAGCATTTTCTGAAATGCTGAAGTGTTTCTTGAAATGCTGAAGCGTTTTATGAAATGCTGAAGCGTTTTGTGAAATGCTGTAGTGTTTTGTGAAATGTTGTTTTGACTTGCACTTCAGGGCCACCGTAGTATTAGACCCATTTAGAACAGGTGTGTTGTACTACTGAAGTGAATATAACAACACACACTTACAAAATATGAACTACCTTTCAAGGAACTTAAAGGTTAGCCCAGTGTTGTCTGCATTTTAACTGCAGTCTAAAGTCCCAAATTAGCCAAATTGGTCCGCGGACTTATGAAAAAGAAATTACTATTTTACACATTGTTTTTGCGAATGACTACAGCGGCAGGTTTGTTTACAAGGCAGCCCCCAACACCTAATCTATTTCAGTTACTGCAGTCAAAAAGGGGTGTTTTTAGACAACAGTGGAGGACTTGGATTTATACGGCACTGGATGCACAGACATACTTCAATGTTGGATTTGTTTTTTTCGTACGATTTGTTGATAGAAAGAACATACATTATCCTTTATTATCAGTTATTCACAAAAGTGGGTCCCAAAGAAATCTAAAGGGTTCAGTGAGTACTATTTCAGAACAACTTAAAAGAGTAGTAATAGTCGTAATTAAATATTAATCAGACAATATTAAATGCTCTGCTCATGAAACCATTGAGGAAGTTTGTATTGAGAGGAAAATAAAAGTATAAAATGTGTCTATAGTCTGCATTAACATAAAATGGGGCTATATACAGTAAATATGATCTACTTGACTTATCTAAACCATAAACTGTAGTTGTAATTCGCATATTTTGAAATCTGTGATCCAAATCCTTTAATACAGTTATGCCACCTATATTTCTCCGTTTTGATTGGTTAATGCAGAATTCAGTGGTCATATGTGCTAAAAAATCCCATAATCCTTAGACTTTAATCACTTCAGATGTCAAAATCCTATTTGCAGCGACTGCACGGGACAACAAAAATACACCATTTTAATATGAAAACAGACATTTACTAAAACATTGAATGCATCTTGGTCATTGGGCTTTTTCTAGTTCCCACACTTACACATAAGATATATTGATTACTGATAAAACATGCACTTCTTCCACCAATAAGCGCCACCAAAAAAAAGGCAGGGAGAGAGTTTTTCTGCTAGATTTGATCAAAAAAGGGCAAAAATGTTACATGAAAACCAAGATGTAATAAAACATTGAATGAATCTTTGTCAATGGGTATTTTCTAGTTTGCACACTTACACATAAGATATATTGATTATTGATAAAAAAAATGCACTTCTTCCACCAATAAGCGCCAAAAAGAAAAAGGCAGGGAGAGAGTTTTTCTTCTATTTGATCAAAAACTCCAGAGAATCTGAAAGAAAGTCATTGATTTTTCTTTTCTTACTCACTTCAATCATCATATTTTGGCATTCAGCCCACTCCTGTTGCGAAGCTGAAACACACACGTGATAGAGCTGCAATCGCCCCACAGCTCCGAAGGATTTATTATTCTCAACCCTGCAGATTTTTTCTTCCCGTGACATGTCAGAGTCAGTGAACTCCCCATGAACTCCCAGAGGAGAGGAACAGGTATCACATGAACGCATGATGTATTCCCTTTGGTGAAGGCATGTAGGACGGTGTTGTAATGTTTCATTCTCTTCACTGCATGCATGTAGTAGTAGTAGGCTAGTAGTAGAACCTTTATTTATCCACAGCCATGTGAGAGAATTGAGACAGGAAGTAAAGACGTAAACTGGGAGACCTTTGGTTCGTAGTGTAATTGATTAATAATAGATTAAAGAGCGATAGAGAGACCTTGTACACTAGATGGCACCATAAACTAAGTGCACACATGCCTTGAATTTTAATCAGCTTCTTGACGCACTTATTTGATGTCTCTTGTTCATTCTTCTCTTTCTTTCTTTTTCATAATTTAAATATTTGAGATGTTAGCACCCATATTCTTACACAAGAAGCTGACTTATATAGATCTAGTGACGCATATTGATTGTAACCTATCAAATATCTGATCACAGGCCATCAGAGACGGAAGAGATATTTAGATTAAAGGCATCCTTTTCTGTTCATTCTCAGGTTCATATTTGTATTTTGTCCCTCCACAAACAAGCATAATAGGGCCCCTTTAAGTAAAAGACATAATAGGTAAAGCCAATACTCTATTCCAAGTATTGGAGTGAACAGCTTGTGTGTAAAGTATTATATTGCAGCAAAATGTACCCTGTTTACATTAAAATGTGTTTTCTCATGTGTTAACATATTGGCAGCATTTCAATGTTACCAGATGTTGCATAACAAATGGATTATTTCATTTTCATAAACTGTTACAGTGCAATTTGTTCTATAATAATTGTAAATATGTTCGTACAATCTTAGTCTGAAAAATAACTATTAGATAAATGCTACGGAGGAGTAAAGAATACAGTCTTTTTCTTAGAATAAGTGTAGTAGAAGTAGAAAGTAGAAACAGGGTAATACTCAAGTAGAGCACATGTAACTCAAATGTACTTTTTTCCACCACTGCAGATTATTGTAGCTCTTAAATGTACATACACTGATCAATCTGCTGACACTTTAAACAGGTTATTACATTACAGCTGATAAAGGAGCAGCACACACTACAGAATATAAGCAACAGAAGAAGAAAACACAACAGTAACACGAAATGTTTCTCTGCCACAATTCATTTTGCCTCCAAAGCTCATGAGAGGTTAAGTCCCTTACTTACAAAGTCAACAGACAAATAATGGCACCGTGTTTCCTGGTAGGAGCAATGTTTTCAGCTTTTTGAGTTACTGAGCAGCTCGGAAATCCCCCGGTAAAGATTATTGCTCAAATCCTGTGCAAAAAGTACATTAAAAAGATGAAAAATCCCCAACAAAGGAAAACTTTTAAAGCTCTAAAATCACTGCAGCACGCAACAAAGAGGTCAAGGGTGACTTCAATGATAAATTGAGCTTACTGGCTTCAGCTAGACATGTCTTTTATCGACATATTAGATCAGTGTTTCGAACATGAGGCGTCCAGAATGCTTCACCCACACTGGTCTTTTTAATCCACTTCATATCTCAGATTCAGTGGACTAAAAATGTGCTGTAGTTTTCGACCTTTTGACATTTCCATGAAAGGAAAAAAATACTTTAATACCCAAGTGCATCCATGTAGAGAGCCATATGTGTGTGTTTATATATTCATCTTCCTGAAATACAGAGATAAAAACAATTTAAAGCTACAAGCATCATTAGGTGCAGTTCTGCATACTGCTGCTGTGAAGCTATTTGCACCCGAAAATGCCTCGAGCGTCATTTTATGAACACAAATGCTCGGCACTCAGACATCGTTCTTATTCATGTGATTGTTTTGCATTTACTCTTCGCAGCCAGGCTATCTTCAGGAGTACTTAACAATCCACTTTGCTATTCTAGTGTTCCTGTGAAGAAGAGCTGGAGCTATTTTCTGCTGCAGACATGTCTCACGATGTCTCAAGATGTCTCACGCCGTTTCCCCCTCCTCACACATCTCTCGCAAGTCTTAGCTCAAATCCCCTTTAATACTCGTGTGAGAATGCACATCACACACTGGTTTTATACACATGGGGAAGACTTTTCCCACACCTCTCTTTTTCTGTTTCTCTGCCCCTCTGCATGCTCATAAATGTATTTTTCATTACATGTGTTTGTGCATATCACATCCAGATTAAAATGTGTTTTTTTACTGGTGAGCATGGTTCAATGAAACCAGCTTATAGGGCTCTCACACAGACTCCCTCTAGGGCCATTATTCTGTCATCTCTGCTGCAGTAGAGCTGTGCTAAAGGGGGCCTTGGGGCTGACTTATGACCATGCACACATCGCATTACAGTAGTCCTATGAGGTGTTGCTGAGCAAAACAAATTAAGCCGAAGGGAAGGGAAATAATACTAGCAATGAAGACAAAAATGTACCTTGTTTTGATGCTGTATGTGGATTTTCACATGTTGATAGAACATCTGATGTGTTATTAAAAGCAAAGTTTATTATAGGATGGGATTTTCCCATCACAGATTGAACATTGCTGGAAAAGTTATCTCTGCTACAGGAGGAAGATATCATCGAGATGTGCTTATGTCACTGCATGGATCTCTCTGTCTTTTACTCGCTAACCCCTCACCCCCTCCCCCATTCTGCTTCAGTATTAACAGGCTGTATTTCTGCCTGAATACTGAGGACATGCGCGCTGAATGGGGGGAGGAGGTGTATCACAGTCTGTCTGCTTCTCATGTTTTCGGTTGACTCAATTATGGTGCGGATCTCTTTTATTTTCTAATCATCTGTTCTTGTGGGAAAAAAAGTGAAGAAGGTTGTTTTTTTTCTACATTTACAGACATGCGAATAATTTGACACTTTGGGGCTTTTTTTTGTTTGAGTCTTTTCATTATTAGATTTTTTTCTAATAATCGATCTACCCAGCCGCAAACCTGAAGTTCATCGTTATTATTTTGGCCGCCGGGATGGTGGCCTTCGTCGGTGCGGTTATCTGCATCATCGCCGCCGTCCACACCGGATCCTCCAGGGCTCCCGCGGCTCAGCAGAGACCGCCAGCCGACAACCACTCTCTGTATCCGGATGCGCATCAGAGCCGCGGCGCGTCGGGCTCCGTGGCTCGGCCCGGATCTCTGGGAGCTCTCCATGGTTCTGAAACACCCGATTCAGAATCACCCACTTTCAATGTTGGTCTCGGAGGGCTGGACGGGGTCAGTGGACTCACCGGGCATGACCCCACGGTGAGTCGACTCATCTGCACACCGATACCAGCTGGAGAGTGCAACCCGAAAAACTTTCAGCAACAAGCGGATGATCCGTCGCTGTACGCCGGGGAAGACTTGGGGTATCTCCGGACCACCGCCGAGGAGCTCCGGCAGACCGTGCTGCAGCAGAAGGACCAGATACTGACGGACCAGAGGACCATCCAGGAGCTCACGGGGAAACTAACCGAGTGTGAGAAGGGGTTGGATGGCAAGAGCATCGCGGAGAGACGAGGCAGCGCTGCGGGGCTGTGGGGGGGCAGAGGCACCGCGGAGGAGACTCACCTGGAGCGGGTCATGGTGCGGGACAGCCCGGGATCAACACCTGAGAGCGGCCACCTGCTCACCGTGAGGGCTGTGGATGAGCTGGAGCAGGCGATCACCCAGCTCAAAGACCGCATAGAGAAACTGGAGGTATGTGAAGAGAATCAGCCCTTCATTAATCATCTCCTGTATGCAGATAAAACCATACAGCAGTGTTTGGTCCCATAAGGAGATTCAAAGGCTTTATTGTCATATGCACATAGCTACAGTTATGCCAATGAAAATCCTAAATCCCAGGCTCCTCCAACAATGCAACATAGATAAGACATAAAACACATTTAAAAAACAATACAAATACAGAGTAGAAGTGAAATAGTGCAATTTTATTTTTGCAAGACCAGTGCAATGCAGGAGAATTCACAGATTCACATGGTGTTTCACGACCTGAGCTTTAAATAGTATTGTTTTACTCCAACTTTAGCTACATTTCACTGTAACACCTGATGATCTGATTAGATATGTGTATTTATTTGTCTCCTCTAGTCCCTTTTAGGATTCCTGGGAATGCATGATTGGTTTTAAAGGCAAGGGCTTTTAATTTTGAATGAGTAAAAGTGAGTTATCCAAAAGATTTATGATATTAGATATTCACAGCCAGATTTAAGACTCCCTTCATTTATGACAGCAAATCCATTTGAAATGCCTCTTGATTTTAAATGTTGTAATCATCAACAGTGATATTGTATCTATGTGACTTGTCAAGTGTTGCTGTCTTTAATTATACATCAAGCGATTGGTTTGACGAGCATGCTTCAGTAGATTTTCACTCCAAGAAAACAGATTGACTTTTTTAATTAAAAGAGAGATAGATGAAAGGTAACAGAGAGAATTAGGGGGGAGATAAGAGGGGGAAGAGGGCTCAGGGTACATGAGGATAAAGGTAAGGGGAGAGGAGAGAGGAGAGAGGATGCATCAGGAGGCGGAGAAGAGAGCAGAGTAAAATGAAACGTGCTTCTCTCCTCTGACCAGGACATGATGATGTATATCCTCATCTTCGGCCAAAGAAATCACATACATAATTCATGAGTTGCCTAAATGTGTAGAGATCACAGACTAAACACACGCTGCAGTAGTAGGCTACTCCTCACTCTGTGGTTGTGCATGTAGGACACGTCGTCGCCACTGTCAGATAAAATCCCCCAGAATGCTTAAGGGTTGAATAATAATCACACTGCTTTTACACTTTCAGGAACACATTTCTCTTTGACAGGAAGCGATTTAAATGGATTTTCCAGGTCTCAGGGTGAAATGTAGTTGAACCTAAAAAAACAATACTCTAGTGTTCTAGTGTGTGGGGGAGGGGGGGGGGGGGGTGTTTACATCCAATGTGTACTGGTAAACAAAGAAGAAGAAGTACTCATATAGGAATAAAGTTCGGTCAAATAACTGGTTTAAATGTCCGTCTGATTTCTTCACATCCCTAAGTATTCAGAGTTAGGCTTTAAGACATATATAAAGAAAAAAAGCAACAAGTTTAAAGGAATATTTTTGGGAAATATGCATCTTGCTTAGAGGCAGAAGAGAACATCCATACAACTCTCATATCTGTCCTTTCAGTATACAGCCATTTTGTTTAATACCTAGCTTAGCATAAATAATGTAAACAGGGGAAAACGGCTAGCGTGACTCTGTCTGCGGGTAAAAAGGGTTACATCTAAATGTCACTAATTAGCAGTTGTGGGACTTAGGCACCCAATGAACACACAATATGATTGCGATTTAACAAAACATTTGCAGAGTATTGCGATATATTGCGATTTATAGAAAAATGTCCCCAAACCCTACTAATGTAACTCGTAGTATCGTATTCCATCACATTGTTCATGATAGGCTAAGGGGCGGGACATGTCTAAGCGGTTGACCAATCACAACAGAGCCGGCCAGCTAACCAATCAGCATAGGGAAACCTTTTGAATCAACCCTTCGTTGTATCCGTATTTGTGATGTAATGTCTCAGCATAATCAATTATTCACTGGGTGTAATAACTTTTCCTTGCATGCAACAGACCTAATGTTGAGATGTATTGCTGTAGTAGTAGTAGTAGTAAATACATCATCTCACCAGAATGAAAGATGTATTTTAACAGCACAGTGCAGACAATATGTTCCTATAAAACCAACACAAGGAACCTCTTTTCATCCTCTGTCTCCAGTTCAATCATATACTAGCTTCCCTTTCTGCAGACGTAAGGCAAACACGTTGAAATGGTGACAAATGGTGTGAATGTGCAGCTGTAATGATTTTCCATTTCTATTCCAGTACATTTGGTAACACATCTGATAGCAGTATGAGCACTTGTTCTTTTTTCCTGCCACGTCAGTAAGATTTCCATCATATCCAGAGGCTTAATGACTGTAAGTGCTCTGTAATATCATGCTGATCCAGCTCGAGTGTGGAGACTTTTAGCACTGTGCTTCACTTTAAGTAAGCTTGCTGCTGTATTTAAATGAGTGTGAGGAGCCATGTCTTCTAGCCTATCCTATGTGGATTTTTTAAAATATATTAAATAAAAAGATGCTTGTTTTCATGCAGTTATTTTACATTAGGCCTATTCCAAAAAGGCAGCATGGATGAAAACCAACTATAGTACTGTTAATGTTCATATGGGCTCTGAAAGTTAAGCATCCCAACCTTTTTTATTTTACACCAACACTGTAGCTCCTTTAAACATTGCCCAAAGATTGCACCTCAACATGCATCTCAAAGACAGAAGTGAACATGATAGTGTTTCTTGAGTATCTTAAACAAATCAACATCTTAAAACTCTATGACTGGAAATACAGAATAAAACCCTAAACAACGATTACAAATACAATTTAAAGTTCATATTCGCTGCTCCGTCTGGCTGTGGCTTTTTTAGGCAAAGCAGTGCCTTTCGCTAATTGCTAATGTCTTCATGCTACAATAGCATGCTCACAAGGACAATGCTAACATGCTGATGTTTAGCAGTTGTTATATCATGTTCTCTGACTTAGTTTAGTGAGCATGGTAAAGGGGGTAAATTCAAGCCATTATCTGAATCAATTAGCCAAGGCAAGGCAAGTTTATTTATATAGCACTTTTCTGTACGCGACAATTCAAAGTGCTTTACAAAACAAATTAAAAGACTAATTAGCATTAATCTTATCCTTTTTTCAGCATGTCAACAATTAATTGATCAAAGCCAATCCACATTGTTCAAACCATCCAACAGCCAATCATATTGCAGGGGAACATTAACACAATGTTACTGAGCGCCAGTTGTAATGGTATAGGATTTGTCTTATTGTGACCATGAATGTGTCCAAAAATAGAAAGGAAATGTCCCTTTTTAAGTGAACATGTTGACCTGCTCTTGGCAGAAGATGAAAGGAAAACCACCCAAGTTTTCATACTTTGGGTATCAGCTGAGCAATTCCCTGAAAATCCACGAAATACCTGGGGAAAATATTTCAGTTAGGACCGAGGTGGTGTACCAACCAACAGACTGACAATGTGTGGCTGATGAAAACACAAAAGGCACCAATATGTTAGGCACACTCGACTTAGTTTTAAAGTTAATGTGGATATGGATATGTAAGTATAAACTACTATATTTAATATCTTGAGACCAGCAGTGATGCTTGCAACACCCTTGTGATAAATTGAGTATTGTTTTGTACACAGGTTTTTGCAGTTTTTCTCTAGAAAGGTTTGACATCTAGGAGTAAATACCTGCCTTGAAGGCCGACCCCAGGCTCCATAACAGAACTGTCAAATATATTTGAGAGCAGATCACTCATCATGCTGAGACTCAGGAGAGCAAATGCATCATAGTGCAGTTTATTCTGCAGCAAGGTGCACACAGCTCATTTTGTGTTAATATTTCAAGTATTTCTGGTGTTAATTTGACCACAAAATGTAGCTTTTCCCCAGGATAATAGCTGTTATTTTAGGAAGAAAATCCCATCCCGTATGGCCTCAGTTTATCATCTGATATAATAAAGGTGAAAGCTGCACGCTGTGTGGCTTTCATGTGTTGTTGCGTTCTGTAGGTGTATGTGTTTTCTGTAATAACTCCCTCGAGGAGAGTATGTATTTCTGCACCATGAAAAAGTGTTCTCAGTGGATATACTGGACCACGCAGGTTTTAGGAATCTTGCAGCGTCTGTATTTCCAACAATCCTCCCTTTGGGTGTTTATTTCAGTGAACTATTATCCTTGAGCCTCGAAAGAATATGTGTTGTTGACGGGAATAGTTGATTCTCTTTGCAGTGTTTTCGTACCCATAACTTCATGTGTGAGCTGTAAAGTACAAACCCAGCTCCAGTCATGCCAGACGTTCCAGAGCATTGGGAGAACATCAACAAATAAAACCTAAAATAAAACACAAGCAATGTTGCAAAAGCAGCCCTGTTGTAGCTGAACTGTGGTAAGCTTTGATATTCAATAAGTTAAGTTACACCAAGTTTAAAGAAATAGTTTTACAGTTACATATCAGTACTCAGCTACAGCCAGTATCCAGTTAGCCTAGTTTAGCTTAGCGTAAAAACTGGAAACCGCTAGCCTGGCTTTGTCCAGCGGTAACAAAATCCATCTAATGTTTAAAGGTCACCAATGAGCACATTATATCTCATTTGAGTAATACAAAAGACAAAGTGTATTTTTATAGGATAAGTCTGATAATGATTTAACTTCTGGGGGCAACGGCTAACTTTCAGGCCTAGACTTGGTCTACTATGCGCTTTTTTCATTTTTGACAGTCCTGTTAGCATCTTGAGACACGAGATCGCTAAAGCTCCGAAGCTAATACAAATCAAAATGGTTTAAATTAGCCTATTTTGCTTTTCTCACGGATTGTTTACCAGCATGCAACCAAAACCCACTCGAACGTTTTCGGTCAATCCTACTTGGACTTTTAAAAGAAAGCAAACCGAAACGCTTGCGATACCAAAATCTTGTCCCGTTGCTTACAGAATTAGGAAATTCAAGATTAGGTTAGGAAACAATTTGTATTTTTTACAGGGGGTTATTTGCAGGACTATTTCTTGGCAGAGTACCTGGCAACCTGCACCCAGCAGAAAAAAGTCCTTAAAGTAATGTTGAACTATCCTTTAAGGAGCAAACATGTAATTTCCTACAGCACAGTGAAACCTTTTCAACCAGCCCCGAGTTGTTTCCCCAGGCGTGATGTAATGTCTCAGCGAAAACAATTATTAATCAGGTGTAATAACTTTTCCTCGCATGGGCATGCAACCAACCTAATGTCGAGCTTCACTGCTATAGAACACACTAGATTAACTGAACTTTAGATGTGTTTATAGTGTAGAGATTACAATATGTTCATATACATCCCATGATAGAAAACCCAAAATACATGTTTGTACTAGCGTTTTTCTTTTAAAATGTTTTTTAATATTTTGAGATTTGACGGAGCAGGGTGTACTTTTATTAGAGATGTGTCTGTTGTCTGTGTTTGTTTTTAGAGTGTGTCAGGATGGATCCCTTGTCTTTTTATCTGCAAACTAAATCTACCTACGGGTAGAAATAAAGAACCTGAACCTGAACCCGAACCCACTCTCTGAACGAGTTTGTATCCACTGTCTCCCTCCTCTGCAGGCAGACGTTGGCCCGTTTACTCACAACCAGACGGACAGCAGCACCTCAGGAGCGCCAGGAGAAGGCGTGACGACTGGCGGCCAGGAAAGGTTGGCTGATCCGGGGCAGAGAGCTGGCGCTGAGAGGCCCTGCAGGGTGGAAGACCTGGAGGGGGAACTGGAGAAAAAGGTGGAGCTGCTGGAGAAAGAGAGAAAAAGCCTGAGGCTGGAAACTGAGAAGCACAAGGAAGAAATCGACCACGGCATTAATAAACTCCACCACCGACTCTCAGGACTGGAGGGAGGTAGGAATTACCAGACAGGAGGAGAAGGAAGATGTAATTAGAATGTGTGTGTCTGTTTTAATGGGTAAATGGAAAGTAATTATAGGTAAATTGATGGATATCTTGCACGACCACTGAAGTCTGTAATGATGAGGAAGGATCTTCCAAAAAAATTACCTCGGATGATTCAGTTGTGTATAACTGTTGATCAAATCAAGCCATGGTGTTTCTTTATGATGAATAAATCATGTTTAAAAAGATCAGAAAGACTATGAAATCAATCCCCTGCTTGAAAAAGACAGATCGGATGTTTTGATGTGAAAAGGGAGAGCTACTGTTGATGAGAAAAGCAGCAAATCTTTTTGATCCTCTTGACAGATAGATGAAATGAGTTCTGCTTTTACTCTCTTACACTTCTTTTGTTTCCATGCTCTACAGGTGTCTCAGGGCATTCTTTCCCAGAGGGCTACAGGCTGTCCTTTCCAACTCGGACAAACTACATGTACGCTGTTGTGAAACACGCCATCCCGGCGCTGCGGGCGTTAACCGTGTGCCTGTGGCTGCGGCCCGCGGAGAGGGGGATCGGGACGCCTCTGTCTTACGCTGTTTCCAAACAACCCAACGAACTGGTGCTGATGCAAGGCCTGCACACCCCCGCTGAGCTGCTCATCAATGATAAGGTACTGAATCTGAGCGTCCACTGTGTATCTAAGCTGACTTATCTGATGCAATAGTTTAACATTTTGGAAGTATGCCTCTTTGCTTTCTTGCAAAGGTAGAGAAGATACAGACCAACCATATCTTTCACTTCCGTATGCAGCTTAACTTAGCATAATGTTTGCCTGGCTCTGTTTGAGGGTAACAAAAATGTACTAAACTAAAAGCACGCTCAAGTTAAATAATTAGCATGTTCCATGTCTCATTTGAGTAATATGTCCAAAAGATACATGGATGGAAAACATGGATTTCCCCATGGAAAGTTTGGAAACGGACAATCAGGAAACTTAACCACCTCTCAGGGGAACAACCAATATTTTGGGGGTTCCAGTGTAGGTGGCAAACAAATATCCAATTACCCATAACTAGAACACGTCATGTGGAAGAGCATATGTATCAGACACAGTTAAATAGCTCCATTCCTATGTTTGAATTGCAAACCATATTGAGAGCACCGCAGGGTAATGAAATTCAGGGCTGTGCTTTAGGTATAATTTAATGAATTCACTATGGTAATAGATACCTGGGGGAAAAGTTCTGTGTCCTTGAAGGTAGCAGGATGTCTTTGGGACTGACGAAATATATCATACAACTGAAGAAATACGAGACAAATAAGATGTTGAAGGACTGTCAAAAAAAGTGAAACAGATAAAGCCTGAACTGCCCTTTTGCTCGTTGGTTCATAGGTGGCGCAGTTGCCTCTTAACCTGTCTAAAGGCAGCTGGCAGCACATCTGTGTGACATGGAACCAGAAGGGAGGAGCCTGGCAGGCCTACCAGGGGGGAAAGCTGAGGGGCGAGGGTCGCGGAGTGGCCGCCGGACATCACGTCAGACCTGGAGGAGTGCTCATACTCGGGCAAGAGCAAGTAAGTGTATGAAGATAGATAGATAGATAGATAGATAGATAGATAGATAGATAGATGGATAGATAGATAGATAGATAGAGTTGCTAGGTCGGTAGCTAAAATAGATAGATCGTATGGATGGTAGGTATATAGATAGATTAGATCGATCGATCGATCGCTCGATAGATGGAGGATGGATGGCTGGGTCGGTCGGTCGGTAGGTCGGTCGCTGCCTCGCTCGCTGGCTGGCTGGGTGGGTCGGTCGGTCGGTCGGTCGGTCGCTCCGCTCGCTCTCGCTGGCTGGCTGGGTGGGTCGTCGGTCGGCGCTCGCTCGCTCGCTCGCTGGCTGGCTGGGTCGCTCGCTCGCTCGCTCGCTCGCTCGCTGGCTGGGTCGGTCGGTCGGTCGAGCTCGCTCGCTCGGTCGCTCGCTCCGCTCGGTCGGTCTGTCGTCGGTCGGTCGCTCGCTCGCTCGCTCGCTCGCTGGCTGGGTCGGTCGCTCGCTCGCTGGCTGGCTGGTCGGTCGGTCGGTCGGTCGCTCGCTCGCTCGCTGTCTGGCTGGCTGGCTGGGTCGGTCTGTCGCTCTCGCTGGCTGGCTGGGTCGGTCGGTCGCTCTCTCGCTCGCTTCGCTGGCTGGCTGGATCGGTCGGTCGGTCGCTCGGTCCTCGCTCTCTCGCATCGCTCGCTCCTCGCTCGCTGCTGGGTCGGTCCGGTCTGTTCGGTCGCTCGCTCGCTCGCTCGCCGCTCGGTCCTCGCTGTCGGTCGGTCGGTCGGTCGGTCGGTCGAGTCGGTCGGTCGGTTCGGTCCGCTCGCCTCGCTCCTCGCTGGCTGGGTCCGGTCGCTCGGTCAGCTCGCTCGTCGGTCGGTCAGGTAGGTCGGCAGGTAGGCCGGTAGGCCAGTCGGTAGGTAACGTTATTGATCCAATTTGGGAAATGTTTGCATTGCAGCCGCCTAAAACCCCACAGGCCATGTACATAAGAAGAAAATTAAGACACAAGAAATAAACAGTCCAAAATATTTCAGAAATAAAAATAAAATAGCATTAAAAAGTAAAAAAAATATATATATACATGGATGTGGAAAATATACATGTGGAAATACAACTTCCATGACGAAAAGAGTGATAACGGGCATGATTTCTTGCAAATAAATCTAATTTGGTATCCCCTTACGCTACTGCTGACTACAGCACTGTAAGCAAAGAGTGAAATTCCCCCTGCAGCTGCAAGGCTATTCACTTACTGACTTCTCCATAAGGTGTAGATAATGTTAGTAAATAAATAAAAGCATGAAACACTTTGAGAGCCTTGAAGAAAGTACGACACAGTAAATCTACAAATTTAATTTAGTTTGGAGTGTGCTGCTAAACAGAGTGGGGTGCCATCTTCTAGTGCTGAGTAGATAAGGTGTGTGCGTGTGGGCGTAATGTTCAAAAGCTGCATTTCCACTGCATGGTATGGCTCTGCTCCACTCAACTCGAGTCCCTTTCTGTACAAGGTACTTTCTTTTATTTAGTTTTCCACTGCGGATAGCACTCAATCATTGTAAGTGGTGTTTTTAGATCACCAACATACAGTAGCTTCACCTTATAAAACTGTCTCAAGCAACACTCACCGGATCCTTTTATCAATCTCTAAACAGAGAAATGTTTGCACCAACACAGCGTAGTATTCTGTGTATCTTTGTGGGATGGCCATTTTAAAAACAATAAATAATTGTGGTGAATTTTATGATTGCATTTTGTTGCGCTAGATTTTCTCTCGGACCAATAAGTGGTGTCCAGTGTTTTAACTGTACCTTCTAGAAGGCCTATAAACTCAGCTCAGACCCTCTACCAACGTAGTACCAAAAAAAGGACCAAGTACTTTCCACAACTTTTGCTAATGGCCAACAAAAAAAGAGCGAGTCAAGTCGAGTAGAGCAATGCGTTACAATGCAGTAGATATTCAACATCAATTCAGTAGTCTTGCATTCATACTAGTCACTTTTTTCATATTCATCTTCCTGCAAGAATGAACACAATCCGGCTCAAGGCAACAAAACCATTGAAGCTGTGCCTTTGTATCAAAGTCAACTTTATTGTCAATGTTTCAGTTTGAGTGTACAGACAGAGAGATCGAAATACCGTTTCCCACAATCCTGAATACGAAAATACAAATATATATAAAAATATGTATAAAAATATGTATATATCTATATACACACAATCAACCGACACATTTGTACATATGCACACATTAAAGGTGGGCTAGGTAAGTTTGAGAAACCGGCTCGAGATCGCTAGAATTTGAAAATACACAACCGGAGAAAATCTGCCACTTCGCGTGGCGTATGAAAGTAAAAGATATTTTTAAAACATCCTTTCAGTGATCCATCTTCTCTACTTTTTTTTTTTTTAAGGATTCCCTAGGTGGAAGTTTTGACTCATCCCAGGCCCTGGTGGGCGAGTTATCCCAGGTGGGTATTTGGGACCGGGTGCTGTCTTCCAAACAGGTGGCTAGCTTGGCCCGCTGTGGCAAAGTAACCCAGGGCAGCGTGGCCCCCTGGACCGAGAGCGGAGTGGAGGTTAACGGTGGAGCAACGAAGGACCCTGGGGAGCCTTGTAGTAAACACAACAGGAATTCTCAATGACCAATGGGGGAAGGGGAAGAGAAGGGAGGGGTAGAGTTGTAGTCCTTTCAAGAATGGGGGGATTTTTTAAACAACTCTATGTGGCATGGACTGACAAGTAAATCAAAAATGTAAAGTGAGGCGTTGCAGTTACTTTACCACACTTCTAGCAACCACATACAGTACAATCATTGAGGTCCACTGGAAAATTGTGCAATACGAGATGACGAGATTTGTCATAAATATAGCTGTATTTTTGGTAGGACAATTCACAGTAATTTCCAAGTTCAAAAATTATATATTGTTATAGATCTGTCTCCAGATTCAGGCGACACTAAACTATTTGCTCATTGGTCTTAGCTCATCTAAAAGTTGTTAGCAAACCAGCTAGCAGACAAAGCAGCAGGCAACGAATGTTAATGGTAATATGTGAATACTAGCAAACAATTCAGCCTTCTGTTAGCTATTAATCAGTGATTAATGTACAGGCAATGACAGAGTGAATGTTAGCCTACCAATAATAGTATGCTAGCTAGCTAAAAAAAACGGTAATTTTCTCAACTTTAAAGGAAATGTTAAGCATTTTGTTCAGCTAGCGGACAAATCAGTTAGCAACCAATGTGAATGTTAAGATTTGAATGCTAGCAAACAATTGAACCTTCTGCTAGCTAGTAATTATCGACTTATGTGTAATGACAAAGTGATAGGTTAGTTTACCAAAACTAGCATGTTAGCTAGCCATAAGTGGGTCAAAAATGACCCGTATGCATTTTCTATGGAATTTCGTTTTTTTCCAAAATGTAAAAAAATGTCTAAAATTATAAATAGTGAAAGATTAAATATAAAATATTTCTAGTGTGAACCAAAATATAATACTAAATATTATACAAGTGATTTTACTTAACCAAAATGACAAAAATGGCATAAAAACACATATTATTCTAATACGGGTCCTTTTTGACCCACTTATGGAAGAGTGTAGGGTCCAGTCACTCGTGCATCTAAGGGTTAACAGCTGGTGCTAGCTTCATACTTAGCGTAACTATATGTGAGTATCAAACTTCTTATCAAACCTTCAGCAAGATTGTAAACGAGAGTTATTCCCAAAATGTTTAGTGATGATTAGATTAGTAGAGATGTTGTCATCTGTGCATAAATTACCACTCTTTATTAATTCTAACGGCCTAAACTGGATGAAATTGAATTTGTATTTCACAGTTGTTGTAAGAGCTGCTGACCTCCACTATGGCTGCTAGAAGTTGTGTAAAGCTGAATCCCTCCACGAGTGCAGCAAGGTCGTGTTTGAGTAAATTAAGGGCTGCGACAGATTTAGAGATGGGAGTGGTAAGGTGATGAAAGCATTGGAGAATGTTAAGTACCTGATGATGAAAAAGAAAGGAAAGAGGAAGAGATAGATCTGACACTTTTAAGGAGTGATGTTACATTGTTTTCACCTCTGCATGATGTATTCATATAATGTCTTGCCACTGCACTGTGCAGCTCACAAGTTTCACAAAATAATACAGTGCCTCCTGCATCCATTGCTGGTGGGTGGCTGTCTTTGTGTTTTCTATAAAGGCCTGAAGCCAAATCAAAAACAAAAAAGGTCTTATTCCCTAAGGAAATCAATACCACTAGCTGAATGCTATTATTTTCTGGGGGCACTACACATACTTTTGACACGCTTTTGCCCCATTTATGTCATTCTTACAACCTCTTGAAGCACACTCTTTGTTATTTTAAGGGGACATTTTTAGGTTCATACTTGTATTTTCGGTTTCCAGTAGATCATATTTACTTGCTTTAAAGATTTTTCATACTGTCTTGATGATGGGCTTGCAAGAAAAATATAGCCCACCTTTCCATCGCCAGTTCTCAAGCTGTGTGATGAGATACTCAGATGGAGGGTGGTATATGTTAATGAGCCCGCATGTGACATAGGAAGAGGGGACACATGTTAATGGTTTGTTTAACGACATCACATTTTATGACCTGTATAAAGATCTGACTGTGATGTCCTGTATCACTTGGTCAGCATTCCAGATACACAAATGTATGTAAACAAGCACTTAAAGAGATGATATGTTTTCATGGTCTTGAATGCAACCTTGAAACATACATAACATACCTATATTATTTTGAAATTGGCGTAATGCAACGTCAACATTTACATTTTTTTTTTTTTAATGGACTGATTTATTTTTGCAATAATATACATGCAACCTCTCAATAATGTAGTTTGATTCGCAGCCTCTAACTCTAACATTCCTACATTCATGCACGTGCAAAAGTGGCGCTTCAGAGAGGTAAGTGGAGAGTCACAGTTTGATATATTGGGCCACTGACCAAGAGAGAAAACACCCTGTGGGAGATGAAGTTATAAACAGATTGTTCATTTCACACTTTCTCAAACACTGGCTCTCCTTAGCATAAAATAATCCTTAGTGGAAAGTGCCTGTCAGGGTGTTTGTACCCATGTAAAAAAGAAAAAACATCTCATTTATTATTCCGTCGGATAATTTTCGCTGCGAGGTGAACTTGAGCTAATTAAGCATCAGTATTTCTGTGAATCCCCTGGTGGACTTTTAAGAGTTTTTGATGAAACATTTGAAAACTCAGGACTTAAGTGCGGTGCCGTTGCTTAATCAGGTCAAAAATCATCTCGCTGTGCCTAACAGTGTCTTTGAAGAGTCCTCTCAGTCTGCAGTGTTATTAATATTATTATGCCTGGTGTCTGTTCAGCTCCTGTAAGAGCTTCCTTTTTGGGCTTTTTGATAGTGGTGTGAAATTACTCTGTTGGAATTGAAAGCTTTTTAACTCAAAGAAGTATCGGCAATGTTTTCTTACATGACACATTTGTTTTTCACTGTTTGCATTGGTGTATTCTCATGTTGTTGTTTGTATAAATACTGTATGTCCATGACTTGTACGGTGTTGTATTGTTCTGCATATGTGCTGTGTACAAACCTCAAATCTTTATTAAAGTCTTAATTTTCAGATGTAAAGAGTGTGTTTCTTTTCTTGATAAGGTTCAGAAAAAAAGTGATCCTATATTCAAGGACACACACACACACACACACACACACACACACACACACACACACACACACACACACACACACACACACACACACTTGTAATTCAAGGGTAGCAGTAACAAGGTCTGCTGTGAAAGCAAACCCTCAGACACAAAGTGCTTTCCAGGCTCCACAAGAAACATACATGATTTTTCTGTTTCTGAAAAAGCATGTTCTTCTATTTCAGTAGCTGGTGTTTTAGAGGCATAATGGGGTCAAGACCTCACATTCAGTCAAAGTCTCAAATGGACAGCACAGTATTTATAGTATACCAAAAGCACGTGCAGCACTTAGAAGATAGAGCCGACAATACAAAACAGTGACTCAGAAGTTTATTTTGTTATTCTTCTTCTTTCTTTTGCATTCATTCAAGACAAAATTGAAACTGACATCAAAGCAATTGTTTGACAATGTGCTTTTTCTTGATGAGAGTAACACCTGAAGCTGATCTCCACAGCAAAGAAGAAAAAGACCAACTGAGGAGTTCAGTTTGGTTTGGCACATGATAAGAGCAGGAGGAACCTATTTTCTCCTTGAAGATGTTTGTTCATTGACCCCAGACAGGTTAGCTATCCAACGAAGGAAGACTTTGTTTTGTTGTTTGATGATTTTGAGTTTGGGCAAATAAAGCCCCTTTGAAAGATTCCCAGACTTTGTTTGCTGTGTTTTTCTGTTGCCTGCCCAATCCTGTTACAACTAGAAAACATAGATCTGAAGAAAACTGGATTCAGTTTGGAAAGCAGGGCTTGTGTATTCCCAGAAAGTTGCTCTGTTGCGAGTGAAGCCAACGCAGTTTGACTCCCTGGTATACGAGTGTTCATAGGCACACATGAGTGTTTTCTATAACCCAGCCTCCCAGGCTTGCTGAAACAAACAACTCACCTGTTCAAAGGTAATATATATGCACCTTCAATCCACTCTAAAGCTCACAAATTAACACGTTATACCTATCTTGTTTGTTTGTTCTGTAAAAATCCAGACATTTGGAGAAAACATTGGAAACATTACTGTGTATACCAATATGTGGTTTAGCGCTTATCTGTCTACAGTAGGCTACAGTTGTACTTTCTGTTTTTTGCTGCTTCAAGCTGTTTCTTTCAGTTCAGTGCAAAACTATGTCTGCATTTACATCAGAGTTAACTTAGTAAGATTTCAATGTATACTTTAGTTGGCTCTTTTTTTTTATTTGGACAAATGGTGGCAATCTGTTTTTCTCCAGTGTTTACAACAAGCTAAGCTAACTGCCTGCTAGAGCCAAAGCCTTATTTTTAAGCTGTTCAGTACAAAATGATGTCTATACAATGACTCAGCAGCTTATTATTTACATCAGAGTTCTCTTATAACAATTGTATTTGTCTCTAGTGGCATTGGTATTTGGCTCTTTTATAACTTTGGACTAATGGTGGCTAGCTGTTTTCCTCCAGGCTAAGCTAAGCTAAGCTAACTGGCTGCTAAAGCCAAAGCCTTAATAAGGTAACATATTAGAGCCGAATCAAAATCATAGCAAGAAAGCCATTAGGGGTATTTCTAAACCTTTAAAAATATGTCTACATAATTTTCCCAGGTGAAAAAAACTGTAGACTTCTATTTTATTGTTTTGCATAAAATTACAGGGGTTCATCTTATCGTTTCTGTCCCTGAATACCACTACTGTGTAATCTCCATGTCCCTATTTTGTCTGACTTAAAATAGATACATCCAATTCTCACTCAGCATTGTTTCTCCCAGTGTCCCCTGTCATCTTTCATTCTCACCCTCCTCCCCCCATCATCTCACTCCCCCTCCTCTCAGTGGCATTTCTACTTAAGACACAGCGTCCACTTCCTGTCAACTCTCGTCTGCCGTTTCCTCTGCAATCCCCATGTCCAATTTTCTAAGCCTTAACAAGTCCACTGACAAAAAAAGAGACACAATAATATCCTTAATATCCCTGCTGTCACAAAGCTCATTGTTTCCGACATGTTGGGACATCGTTGTGGCGGGGAAGCATACAAGAGATTTGTGAAAGCAAATATATGAGAAGGATTTTAAAACCAATCCATTTGTCTTTGCTTCTCCACCTCAAGAGATAAGTCATCCAATATCTTTTTTTTTTCTTATCTCTTGGACCTGTGTGGCAACACACATGGTGAGGATTAAAGCCATAACATCTACAGCCTAATATTTAAATGACAACTATTCCTTATTCATTGTTTTTATCATGGGTTTGTTTTTTAGAAGATAAGTCATTTTTGTTATCAGAGAAACAAGCCATTAGCAAATGTTACAGATTAGCTCAGAGCTTCTTCTTGACCACCAACTTATATCATAAACTCTGATCCTACTCCACAACATGTTATCTTTTAGTATTGATTTGATTAAGAGACCCCTAGTGCACTAATCACTGACTGATTGTGAAATTGAAACAAACCACATCCCAGCAGGTGAACCAAGCAACAGATACTGTACAGCAATATCTGTAATGCCTAATTAGCCCGAGTTAATCTGTTCAACCATTCCAGTGGATAAGACACGACTGAGTTTTGCTTCTTCACGCTATCCTCTCTTTTACTAATGGACTTACCACTTAAGACCCTCACAGATGCTGCTGCTCGTGCCAAAGAGTCACACTTAGCTGGCCGGTGTCACACAACTAAGATCTAAACCGAGCCAAAGTCCCGTTAACCTCGTTACTGTGCGAGGAACTTACTGTGTGAGGAACTTACTGTGTGAGGAACTTACGGTGTGTGAGAGACTGCTGTGTGAGGAACTTACTGTGTGTGAGAGACTGCTGTGTGAGGAACTTACTGTGTGTGAGAGACTGCTGTGTGAGGAACTTACTGTGTGTGAGAGACTGCTGTGTGAGGAACTTACTGTGTGTGAGAGACTGCTGTGTGAGGAACTTACGGTGTGTGAGAGACTGCTGTGTGAGGAACTTACTGTGTGTGAGAGACTGCTGTGTGAGGAACTTACTGTGTGTGAGAGACTGCTGTGTGAGGAACTTACTGTGTGTGAGAGACTGCTGTGTGAGGAACTTACGGTGTGTGAGAGACTGCTGTGTGAGGAACTTACTGTGTGTGAGAGACTGCTGTGTGAGGAACTTACGGTGTGTGAGAGACTGCTGTGTGAGGAACTTACTGTGTGAGGAACTTTCTGTGTGAGAGAGACTGCTGTGTGTGAGAGACTGCTTACTGATGCAGAAGCTTAACCCCTTCAACACTGACGTTACACATCTTACTGTTGTTTAATTTATGATGAAATAGAAAATAATTTGTAACCATCCCAAACATTTTTTTAATCAATTGATATGCTTTCAAACCTACATACATGTTGGTTAATATAGATGATAGTGTGATGGATCTTTAAATATTGACGCTTAATGGGTTAGAACCAAGCGGCAAACTCTGGGGAAGAGCCGGGACGCCAATACGGAAGTGCCACAAACTGCAGTTCATATATTGGCCGATAGGCGATGACTGCAGAAAGGAGCAATTTCCATAGACCCCAATGTTAAAATGCCCAATTTCACAGCAGAAAAAAAACGTTTCTAGCCCTGGCTCCAATACATTTTATTATGTATATAGTTAGATTCCACCTTCGTGATTATGAATCTGTGAGTGAATTGTTTTCTAACGCGACCCTTTTATTTATATTAGGTCTTAAAGTCTTTGCATAAATTAGGGCGTGGTCACATTGAGTGACAGCTCTGTCAGGTGACTGCTGCTGTTAGCTTTTTGTCTCTCTGCTAGCTGCTCCGTCTCCGTGAAGCTACAGGGACTCTGCCTGGTCAGTTCATCCAGGGAACACAACTTGATCCCGGCCGTGTTTGTTTGTTCTTCATGCTTATATATCGGACTATTGTGACTCGCTCTGCGGTTAAAACAGACGGTGCATGAATGCCGTTTTGCGGTAAGTGAAATTCGAGTACTTTATTTATGTGTTTATGATTTTAATCAGCTACGTAATGAATGTTAAGGCTTGGGTTTGCGTGTAAGCGAGTGGTAGCTATGCTCAAGTATGTAGACAAGCTAACGTCGAAGTAGTGTATGTGAAATCAACCTCACAATAAGATGTGTGTATATTACAATTATTAATGTCATATTTCAAGATGATTACTTAGATATTACAATATGGATGGTTGAGCTGGAGTTCATTATTGAGTTTACACGTTAACGTCACAGTCATCTGAAGAACGAACCCAAACGTTGTTGTTTTTATTAATTGCATTACCAAATTGGTATCAAATAAACAGTAACACAACAGCATTGGTAACACAACTTCCAAAGTTACAGTAAAATAAAAAGGACCCTGACTCGGACAATACACAATTCAACATGTTCAACAGAAGAGAATAAGTTATATTGTTTGTACACATGGTTCTTTACATATATATCTGTTTGTTTAAAGTTTCCAGGTGATGCAGACAGGATGGACCAGAGAGTGAGAGACAGAACTGGACTCCTCACAGCAGTGAACTTCAGCACAGGTACAAATACTCTTTTTTCATACTGTACAAAGAATCAAGAAAGATATTGGTTTAAATAAATGAAGTATTGACTTTAATACACTGATATACATTCCATTAAATAATACTAAATACTAGATCACCTACACATCAGTGAAGTTGAGGGGTTTTTCCATGCAAAGGGTTACATTTAGATGTTAACAAGCAATATGACTGTCAGCTTTCTAATTTAAGGTATTGAAGGCAAAGCTATTAGTGACAACTGCTATTTATCTCTCAATATTGTCTGTAAAAAACGTGGTAAAAGTTATGATTTCAGTGAGAGAACAGAGCAAGCTTCTACAGTTGCACTAAGTTTTGATAACAGTTAAATATTATTTTGATAATAAAATATATTTCAATGTTGATGAATGTCATACTGTTCATTCATAATCTGATTGTCTTTGTAGCTCACTGTTGAAATAAAATAAAACATTACAATTACAA